TTATGCGTAACATCTTAATATGTACCCGACAGCATGCCTGGCTCTACGTTGATCAGTTTACCTGCGTCAGTTTATGTGATCACCCCTCTGTCCTGGGAGGCTGGTGTAGCCCTGGGATCAGCTACATTTTTAGCTGAGGAAACTGAGGCATAGTAGGTCGCTCAGGGCCACACGGCAGAGTCAGGATTTGATCCTTAGCAGCCTGAGCTTCCTAGCAAGTCCCCTTCCCCTTTCTGACCTCAGTCTCCTTATATGTGAACTTGGGCCTGGGGGCCTGGGCTGGTGTGTCATTCAGTGATAGACTGGTGAAAGGCCTCAGGTATCCAGTGACCACTAGGGTTTTGAGGCTGCCAGGTGTAGGTGAGGGGTCATGTATCTGATTTCTGCAGCTGCAGCTATCCTGGGGACACTGGGAAGGCCAACTTTCTCTCCTGAAGGAATTTTTTCACAGCTGCCCAGAGTCTCCAGCTGTGAATAGTGGGAAGGAAGCAGGAAGGGAGGCCCCTTGGCCACTCTGCTCGGAGTAGCTGGGCTGCAGTTGCCCCCTGAGTTGCCAAGGTCACTGTGCTGTCCCCTTTCCCAGCAGCTTTCACAGCAAAGCCTTTGTCAGCTCTCAAGCCCAGGCCCCAGTCCCTGAAACGTCCACCTCCCTGGCTTGGCAGGCACCGCAGTCCCGAGGGCCAGAACATCACCGACACCTTGTATCCTCCATCCTTCCACTGGCAGCTACCTGAAATATTCTCCCAATTGCACCCCGAGGCCAGCTAGGGGAGGTGACAGGAGGTTCCCATGTTCATGCTCAAAACCCAGGAGGCCACAGCCCATGGCACCCACGTTGTCTGTCAGTCACCAAATTCCGGAGGGGGGGTACCCAGGATCCCCCATCTACCCCACTGAGGAAGAGGAGAGGAAGTTGAAATAGAAGGGAAGGGGCAGCTGGGAGGAGGCCCTCATCTCAGAGATGGCTAGCCTGCGTTTGATCCCTGGGCCTAGCATTTCCCCGCAGACCCTTGGCTGTGAGTTCAGGCTGTCGCCGGTCTCAGGGAGAATGCATGAATCTGGCTCTCATTTCTGCGTCTGACATTCTGTCTGGGTGATAGTCTGGTTGGTCCACACAGACTAGCTCATTGAACCCCGTAACCCTCAGAGGTAAGCACTGTTACTATCCCCATTCTGCGTGTGAGAGACTGAGGCACAGGTTTATTTACAGAGTGCAGAGAGAGGGTTGTGTGTGTGTGTCTGTGCACACCTCCAGGTCGTTGCGGCCTGCGGGTCGCCTGGTCCGCAGCCTAGCCCAGAGAGGGCTGGGTCTTGCCCTGGTCAGCCAGTGGTCAGTTACTGGCAGAGCCGAGGCCTCACCAGGGCCTCCTGGGGCCTTTCAGGCTGTTCCCCGAGTTTGGGGAGCTGGCATTTTAGGTGTTTCTCTTTGTGGGAAAGCCCTACCTGCTGTGTCTACTTTAGGGGAAAAGTGACTCCCCCCCTCTGTGCGGGTGACAGCAGGGGAGGTCCCCAAGTCCTAGGCAATGTTCCCTGCTCCTCATTCCTGTCTTTGGAGACTCTGCCGGAGACCTGAGCAGCTGGGCGCCAGGCCCAGGCTCCCTTCATGCTCTCTGCAGGGTGGGGGAGGGGGTCCGATGCGTGGCGAGGGCCCAGGCAGTCCTCCTGCCAGCCCTCACCTACCTTTCTCAAGCCCCCTTTTACTTGATCAAGCAGAACAAAGGTGTTGGAGTATTGGCCTTGTCCTGGGTTCAGATTCTGCCTCTGCTAGTTCCTGGGTAACCTTGGGCTAGGTCCTATTGCCTCTCTGAGCCTCAGTTTCCTTATCTGTAAACTGGGGGCAGAAGCATCCACCCCCAGGGGACTATAAGGAGCAGTGTCCATAGGGCGCAGGAGAACCAGCGGCAGACTCTTGGGTCTGCCAAGTGGTTATCGGGGCAGGACCCGGACCTGCTGGGGCTGGTGGGGGGGAAGCCGAGCCAGGCCCAGGCCCCTGCTGCTCAAAGCCTGGCAGGAGAGACCATCCACATGTACGCATGTGTGCACACACGCATGCTCTCGTGCACTCTCAGCCACTCAGTCTTTTTTATTGGTTGATTTTTGTTACACATTTTATCGAGTGTTTCCAGTTCATTAGTACCACTGTTCCCAACGTCACCTGATTCTAAGATTCATTCCAGATCTGGGGCCAGTTTAACAGCCTTGAAGATTCAGATTTCATAGGTCTGGGGGCGGGGACAGGTGCCGGCCATTGCAGCCACAGTCCCAGGAGAACTTTGGATTTGTCCAGAGTCGTACAGTTCTGAGAAAGAGCCCAGCGCCTGGACGACAGTGCGGTGATGCAGGGCAGAGGAGGAAAGCAGAGAAAGGGGGTGGGAAGGCTTCCTGAAGGAGGTAAAACTTGGGTCAGATCTTCAGGGTGGGTGGGACCCACTGAACCAAGAACCCACAAAGCACAGGCATGAATGGGGTAGTGCTGGGGGGAACTGGAGGAGAAACAAAGTGGCAGAGGCTGTGGACAGGGGCAAACAAGTGTAATGAACCTTGGATAGCAGCTGGGACTCACCGCTGGTTCTGGAGCCGAGGGTGACACAGCCAGGGGTGGGGGTGGCTAGACACAAGCTTGGCAGAGTTCGGGGCACCCCTCTGGAGTTTTCAGTGGCTGGGGTGGCCTTGCTCCCTGAGGCTGCATGTGTGACGACAGAGCCTTGAGGCAGTGCTGTATCCTCAACTCCGTGCAGATGCTGTCGATGTGCAATGGAACTGCAGTGAGAATCTGAAGGAGATGGAGGTTGTCGGGGCTGCCCTCGGGGGTGGTCTGCACCTGTAGGGAGACCGCATTTGAGAGATCTCTGCCTTCCCTTGAGCTCAGCCAGACCCTGGTGTGGACTTGGATGCTGAGTTTTTCTTCTTGCTGAGCAGTAGCTGCTGTTAGGCACCGTCTTGTAGCTCTGGAAGTCGCTGCTGCTGCTGCTGCTGCACCAACATCTGCAAGCCTGGTGGAATTAGGTGTGAATCCAGTCCACCAGGCCTGAAATGAGAGCTTTCCTTTCAGCCTCTGGCACCCGCTGTGTTCCCCAGGTTGGGGATGTCAGGAGCGTGTCTGCCCTCGATGACCTCCTCCCAGTTTCGGTTTCCCGGTCCTTGCGTCTCTGATGGTCCATCTGTGACAGAGGCTGGCATCTCTCATCATTGCTCTGTGCTGGGTCCCGGGTCTCTGTTTCCTCATCTAGAGAGTGAGCTTGCATTTGCACGCTAGGACCTCTGAGGACCCGTTTGGAGCTTTTGGGTTTTGTGCGGGATCCAGCAGCCCCTCACAGCACTTGGCAAACCTTTAGGGGACTAGGGAGAATTCACCTCAAAATCACTTTGGAAGATGCTCAGGGAACAGGTTGTGTAATGAAAATGGATTTTCTAAAGCTTGGGGGCTCACCACTCAAAAAATGGCAAAGGCTCGTAGACTTTCATACCCCTCGGGGCGAGGGGAATGTGTGCTCAGGTGCCGGGAACACACCTGTTTCCAGCAGGGTCGGTGGGGCCCACCCTTCCTCTCTCAACGTCCCTGCCTGTGTCTTAAACGTCGACCATTGCTCCGTCGCCCTGACTGAGGAGCGCTCACAGCTGTGAGGTAGACACTGACTCCTGCGTTGAGTGTCTCCAGACTCCTGAGCCCTAAATCTGCCTGACAGGTGTCCACAGTGCCAGGCGCTGTTGGGAAGCAGGCCCTAGGCCACAGAGGGGCAGACACATAATTATTTATGGACCCGAGACTGTGGCATGGCCTGTGAAGCCCGGGCATGGCACTGGGAGTCCTTCATCCTGGGACATTTGTTGCCTGTGAGTTAGCTGGGGACAGCCTGAGCCAAGCTGCACTTTAGGAGTCCCTGGGGGTCTTGGTTGGGCTGCATCGGGTGGAAGACATCTGAAGCTTGACTTTCAGATAAGCGAGGTCAGGCAACGGGTCCTTCACGCTGAAGCAGGGGCAAGGACGGCAGACATCGCTAGTTGATCACCCCCCCACACACACACACTGTCTTGTGAAATCCCAGGCTGTTTCATTTTGCAGGCACCCAGCTGTCCTTGCACTAAATTTCTAAGTTAGGGTGAGGTAAGGGTAGAGCTGGGAAGGAAGACGAAGTCTTTCTTCATTGAGTAGAAATATGTGTAAAAGAGGAACGATGAAAACAGGGAGCTTTTTGACAAACATTTACTGAGCTGGGAGTTTTCACGCACTAGACAAGATATTGCGCCTGCCTTACGGAGGGCAACGCTTAGATGAGAGGGGCGGCGAGCCCCAGCCCTGCAGCAGGGTGCCCTGGCCGGTTCCCTGGAGCTGTACTGGCAGGGTCGGTCGGGAGTGGCTGAGCTCTGCGTGGCATTGCGCATGGGCGTGCCATTCGCTGGCCTTGTCACCCAGGGCTTGTCTCCACTTTCTATACAGTGAGAGAGGGGCTGTTCTTTGTTCGGTTTTTTAAAAAATCTTCACTTGAGGATATGTTTTTATTGATTTGAGAGAGAGAGAGAAATGAAGATGTGAGTGACAGCCATTCAATGCGTGTCCCCCCCCCCCCCCGTACCCCAACGAGGCACAAACCTGCATCCCAGCATGTGCTCTGACCAGGAATTGAACTCTCAACTTTTTGGTGCATGGGATAACGTTCCAACCCACTTGAGCCGCCCGGTCAGGACTCTTTGTTTGCTTTTCACAGCCACTGAGAGGAGGGTGGCTTAAAAGGGGAAGTTTGAGGAAATAAAAACTAAGTGTTTTTCTCATGTCTCTTTTTGTGGCCTCCAGAAATAATTCTGGGTGCCACAGAGTATGCTTCAGGATCACGACTGACTTCGCCCCACCCCCACTTCCGGCAAAACCAGGCTGAGGCCTGGGGTGTTGGGGAAGCTGGCAGGGAGCAGAGTGGAAGGCTTGTGGTTGGTGAGTCAGTGCCTGCAGGCTGTGGCCTGCTGACTCACCGCCCTGTGCCTGAAAACAGCCCCCTGAGCACCCAGTAGACAGCATGGCCGCCCTCCTCCATGTCCCTAATTCTGTCCTTTAGCGTAGCTTCAGTTATGGTGGCAAGTGGCGTGTGCTGGAAGTCTGCAAGTGGCATTTGGGGTTTGAGCCCCTTCAGAAGGGATCGGAGAGGCTTGAGGGTGCCCGCACCCCCTCCTTCCTGCGGAGTGCAGGGCCAAGCCCGGCTGGCAGGCTCAGCCAGCAGGTATCATGAGACTTCCTCCTTGAAGCCTCCTTCATTTCCCCCTTCACTCAGTCGTGGGCTCCCGTCCTCCTCATGAACTTGTAGAAAACTTTGTTACTTTGACAAATGGGCCCCTCCCCCTGTCTCTGGGCGTTAGCACCGTGAGGGCATGAAGGTGACCTGTGTCCCCCTCAGTGGGCCTGGGCCAGCCGAGCAGTTGGCGCGCAGTCAGCACGGGACGGCCTGTTCTCCTGACCAGCTCCTGGTGAGTAAGGGCCCGCCCAGGGCAGGGGATGGACTTGGCTGTGATCGAATAGCATCAAAGGCTGACCCTGTTCTTTCCAAACCCCGGGCCTCACCCGTGGAGGGATGAGGGGTTGGGATTTGGTGCACGAGAACGTTTTCTTCTCTGCGTCACTGGCCCAGGGGAAGGACTTCCGCCACCCATCTGTGGTGGGTTCCTCTTTCCAGCGCCACCTTCAGCCCATCCCAAGGGACTTGGCTCATGAGGAAGGGGCCGGGTGGCTTCAGAGTGTTTGGGCTAAGGACTTGGCTGTGTACAGGTCACCACTAGAAAGTCCCCACTGACAACTGCTTACAGGGAAAAGCCCGCTCTGGGCCCTCAAATGTCCCAGAGTGGGAGGGCTGGGTTGGCTAGGTGGTCAGGGGCAAGCGTGGGGCTTTCAGCTGAGTGTGCTGAGCCTTCAGTGGGGTGGCAGGAAGCTCTCAGGCACTCCCACTACCTTCTGCGTAAATCTAGGTTCTAACCCTGGCCTGCAGGCCTTGTCTTCTCCCAGGTCGCCCCGTACTCGTCCCCTCTTTCCTCAGTTCCTACACCGGCCTTCTCTGTTACCTCGCCTTGCCCAGTGCGGCCCTCTGTGCACGTGCCGCTCCCTGCTCTGGGAACACCATTCCCCCAGATATTTGCAGAGCAGAGCTCCCAGTGGTGTGAGTTTGGACAAGCAGCCTCACCTCCCGGGGCCTCATTCTTTCATCCAGGCTTCTAAAAGGAATAAATGAGTTGGTGCTTGAAAGGACTTAGCGTGGGGCCTGCCTACGGCCAGTTCCCAGAGGGGCTTCTCTGACTCCCCGCGCCCCTCACCTCATCCTGCTTGGTTGTCTGCTATGTGCTGGGCCCGGGCGTAACTAGGAACTTGTGTGTGTTTGGTGTCTGTCTCCCTTCTGGAATGTCAGCTCCTCAGGGCCCACGCCCATGCCCCCAGTTCCTGGAGCCGTGCCTGGGCATCTAGGGTAGGTCGTCAGTGAATGTTTACCCAGATTTCACTGCTTGCTAAAGCCGCCTTTGCTCTGCTTTCTCCCTGGACATCTGAGATGCAAAGGGGAAGTAGCTGCCTTGCGTGACCCACCAGAACCAAACTAGACCCGGCTCTCTAACTCCTAACCCACTGTCCTTTCCTGAGTCCACCGCCTGCTGGGCTGGTGCCTGGGGCAGCTCTGTTTGGGGCATGATGTGTGCCCAGCTCACCCTCACCCGGTGCCCAGTCATCCTCCCCTGGCCCCTCTACCCCTCCCCAGGCCCGGCCCTGCCACAGGAGAGCCTTCTGCAACCAACCCTCTGCCTCCTCCCTGCAACCCTCCTCTTTGTTTGATCTTTGCTGCCCACCTGTGGTCTCTGGGCCTTGGGACAAGGCCTGACATCTCTAGGGAGATAAGAAATTGGGGCCCAGACCTTCGCCCTGCAAATGCTCTTCGGAGGGGAACAGGACAGGCAGCTGTGCATCAGGCCCGCATCCTGCCCTGCTCCCCACCAGGGTTGTTGCAGAGGCCGGTGCTTTCAGAATGTGCCTACCTTCCCCCATTTACCCTTTGCAAACTACGGACGAGAAGCACGGCCTGCTCTGCTGGGTCCCTGTGTGGAGATCACTTGGCCCAGGGTTTGGGTGCAGCTCCTGGTCTCCTGCCTTGTGGCCGTGGGGCCTGGGCCAGATCCTCCCTGGGAGGCTTCGGGAGAATGAAATGCTTCTGGGGTTGAAGGCTGAGCCGAGCCGGGTGGGTGCGCTCAGTGGGGGTGGGGGAGTCTGAGGGTGGACCTGAACTTTTGGGGGCGGGAAGTTTGCAGTGAGATTGGGGAGGGGAGAACCTTGCCCACAGCCACTGAGCGCAGGTGGGTAACAAGCCCCATCCCTAGAGATGGCGTGCTGAAAACAGTTCCCCAAACAATTCACTTTCACTAGGACCAGAATGTTGCCGCTCATTGTTCAGGCTTCGTTCCGGGCAAAACAATGCCAGGCTTCCTGGATGACCTCACTGGGGTGGGCCATCAGCCCTGTGAGGCTGGGCTGGTCAGGCTGTCCTTTGCTGTGGCCACCTCGAGTGACCTGGGGCAATGGTGTGACCAAAGAGGGCAAACTGTTTGTGTTTGGCCCACACAGGGTTTTAGGAATTGGACAATGCATATGCCCACACAGCTCGGATTTCATCCTGTCTTGAGAAATTGGAGGAGCTGGCCCCAGTGGGCCCAGTCCCTGCTCCTCCCTGTGGCCTTCCCACTGTTCTCCTGTCCCCGCCAGGCAGGCCCCCAGAGGCCTTTGAGATTTGAGGCCTTTGAGCTGGTCACACCTGAGTTAGCCTGAGTTAAGAATAGATAACAGCATTACCTTTGAAATGTTGTTAGCAAATCTGTGTAATATTTTGAAAATGTGTTTTGGTTTGCTGAGAGCAGAGCTACTTGCTTTTATTGTCAAACAACAACAACAATAATAAAAAGCAAACTTAAAAAAAGCATAAACAAGATAGAAGGATACAGTCCACATGACTCAATCAAATGATTAAATTTTCATACGTGTACCTTTATAAGAGAAAACGAACTTCCTTTGGTTAATTTCTACTTTTCAAAATTAGGTGCCCCAGGTGGAGGGCGAAACTGTGCTGTTAACACAGCACACTTTTGAGGGGGGAGGGCGCTCGGTTGGCACATGTTCCCAGGCCAGGATGGCGTGTGGCAGAAGCTACTGCTTGACCGCAGGCGTCTCCCTCACCAGGCCTTCCCCGAGCCTGCAGTCTGTGGAGACGGCGCTCGCACGAGCCCCTTCAGACCCAGCAGAGAACTCTGGGAGGCTCTGTGTGCCAGAGGAAGCCCCCAGTCCATCCCCGTCCGCCCTGGTCCCAGAGGTGTCATTGGTCCACCCAGCTCATTCCTGGGGCCCTGGCACGGACTGCTCTGCAGCTCCCCAGGCCCTGCCCCATCTCTGTCACATGGTCCCTCACTTCCCTCTTTGTCCTTGCCTACTTCCCTAATTTGCCAGCCCAGTCCAGTGGCTTGAAGTTGGCTTAAAGGCGCCAGACCCAGTCTGACTTTGTGACTTTCTGAAGTAAGTGATCCCAAATAGCCAAGTGGTTGAACACATGGAATTTAGGGGCCGAAACGGACCTGGGAGCCATTTGAAGCTCTGGTGGTCTTTTACTTGCTATGTGACCCTGGACAAGTGACTTCACCTTTCTGTACCTCATCATCAAAACAGATGGCAACGACACCGTGGAGGGGCTGAGAAAATCCATGCATCGCCCTAGCCTAGTACAGAAGAAGTGTGTATGCTGTCAGCGCCCAATAAATGCAGCCTGCTTGCTTTCCTTCTTTTTTTTAAACACTCAGGATAAAATGTCTGCCACATAGTATGGTAAAATAAAATATCCAGTATTTATTAATCAGTTAGTTATGTACCAGGCTCTATGCTGAAAATTTTATTGGCATCAGCCTACTTAATCCCTGGGAGGTGAGTTTTATTTTCACCCCCGTTTTTTTAACCAAGGAGGAAACTGAGGTGCAGAGAAGGTTGTCACTGGCCCCGGGTCACAAAGCACAGTCATGACCTCAGTGAGCCCGGAACACTGGCTCTGGGGTGGATGGGGGACTGGGAAGGAGGGCGGACAAGGGGACCAGCAGTGTGCTGCACTCTACAGCCAGCCCAGCAGGCAGGGGCCATTCCGGCCTCGGGTTTCCCTACTTGTAAAATGGGTCTATCCTCCAGGTCTCCTCCTCCCCCAGTTCTGGGACACTGGGAGTCGCTTCCCCGCTTCCCGAGGTTTGCGGAGACACGGCAGCTGTCCAACCAATCGTAGAGTCTGTGCATGTGGTTGGCCCTTTTGGAGTGGGGGGAGTACTCCAAAGAGGAAACAGAACAAGTCCCTGTCCTCTTATTTAAAAGCATGGCAGAAGCTCCTGAGAGATTAAGTCAGTCACAATGAGAGATTTAGGTCATTGTTTGATGCAGTATAGCCTCGTGGGAAGTTGTTTACTGGGAAAGGGTCAGGTCCTGTCGGGGGGGCTGAGGCAGGGAACCCCTAGCAGCTGGGCAGCTTCTCCTAGAAAAAGGGGGAAGGGCTTGGTTTCCCCACGTCCCCGGCCTGAGGCGGCAGATGCTGGGGGAGCCGGCCACAGCAGCACCTGCCACTCAACCTAAGGCCCAGCTGGCTGGCCTGCAGGCACCTGGGGCCAGAGTGGGTGGGAGGGAGGCAGACAGGACAAGCGGGCCCCACTTTGCACTGCTGCACCCTCTGTACCTCTGTAGTCCTTTTCCCCTCTCTGGCCTCAGTGTCCCCATCTGCAAATAGTGCTGAGGCCTCCCCCTCTCTCAGCTGTGCTCCAATGCCTTGGGCCTTGAGCAGACCAAGGTGGGAATTCTGGCTCCAGCCCCCTTTCCTGCTTGAACCTCAACTCCTTTTATCTGTACAACTAAAAGCCCCTCCACAATAAGGGTCTTTGAAGAGTGAATAGAAAACTGTTTTCAGACAGCTCAGCATAGAGTAAGTACTGGTAGTTTTCAATCGGGGGGAGCAAAGGAACCTCTTCTAAATCCACGGCGTTGCTGCCACCAGGCCGAATCTGTCTGAGTGGTGCCCGAGCTGACCAGGTCATCTTCATGTCGTCCCAAGGGCATGGCCAGCTCTGGCCTCAGCCTGGAGCAGAGACCAGGAGAGCTGCAGCTGGGCCGGGAGGGAGCGTTCATCTTGGAGCCTCTGTATCAGGGCCGGTCTAATCGCCTGTTGCTGTAATAATCAAAGAGGAAGCTCTTAAAATGGGGAATTATGTATCACCTTCGCTAGAAAATAGTCCTGGGCCTGGTGCCAATGAAAACAGCTCTCGGGGCAGGCGGCGAGGCAGCGCCTGCTGGGACGCCTGTGGAGGGAGCTAGTCCCCAAGCTCTGGATCGTGGGGTGGGCTGTTGGGTGTGAGGGAGAATCAGTGGGCCTCCTCCAGCGTCGCCTGAGATCAGGCTGGGCTGGCAGAGGGACAGCAGAAGCAGAGCCAAGAATTCGGGCACATCACAGGCACTGTCACAACCAGTTTCACGACCTTGGGAGTGTCACTTGGCTCTCTGGGCCTTACTGATTTCACCCTGAGTAGGACTGACCCCAAGGTCAGGCTGGACCCGATAATAATTATAGCAGTAATAACAACAGTAACACTAGCAGCTACTATTTAGGGAGTACACGCCACATGCCAACTAGTGTTCTAAGCACTTTCTACACACCTCTCTCATCAGTCCCCACCACATCCCTGTGAGGTGGGTACGATTATCCCCCCTTTACAGATGAGGACACTGGAGACCAGAGAGGCTGAATAATTTGCCTGAGGTCACCCAGCCAAGAAGTGGCTGTCAGCACCGAAGCCAGGGTTTGAGCTTTGATGCCTGCAGGGGCCAGGCTATCGCTCGAGGGCCCGGAGCGGCGTGCAGGGCGTCTGAGCCTGAGGAGGTGATGGACTGCAAAAGTTCGGTGGGGCTAGGATCCCGAGGAGAAGGGGCCCTGGTGGCAGGCTGTGGGGAGTGGCTGGGTTTTCTTCTAGGAGAGGTTGGAGGGTCGCCTGGGAGGGCCTGACGGTCTGAATCCGTGAGTTGCCTTTAGTTACCATGTTGAGAAGAGATGGAAGGGGGTGGGCAGAGTGTCAGCAGGCAGGCCTGTGAGGAGCTACCTCCCATACTCTTCCAGGACTATTGGAGCCTGCAGTGAGGTGGTTGCCATGGCAATGGAGAGAAGTGGGAGGATGCCAAGAATATATGAGAGGCTGAGTCCACCGACTTGCTGCTGTGGGCTCCTGTAGGCACAGGGCTGGTCAGACACCATGAAGGGGCTTGGAGTGAGACCCTGGAGAGGGAGTCGCGGTGTCTGCACCTGGGCGTGGCCTCATCCTGTGTGAGAGAGCATTGGGGGAGACCATGGAGGATGGTTTGGCCTGAGGGAGCCAGAGGCAGGGCCTGGGAGTGCAGCAACCCCAAGGGGGGGACAGGTGCCAGTGAAGGAGGAACACATCTCTGGGTGCTCCCTGGGAATGGGGATAAAGGAAGCCCCCCCATACCAGGCACTGATGGGCCCCAGCTCTGCCCTTTTCAGGCCCTACCTCCACCCAGGCTTGGCTGCAGGGGTGGGAAGGATGGGGCTCTGAGTGCGGTGAGGGGGCCGGAGACATCACTTTGTAGGAAATCAGCCTGGAACAGAGGAGGTCTCAGAGAACCTGTTACTCCCCTACTTCCCCCACATTTCTAGAGGGTTCTCTGAGTGCCAGTGTGGCAAGTGGGTGTGGGGGACCAGAGGACAGACCCAGGACTCTCAGGGCAGCCAGGGGGAAGCAGACCCCAGGCCCTAGTGGGGACGAATTTTGCCAGTCTCGGCTGCCTATGTGAGCAGAAGCTGGCCACCTCCCTCTCATCTGGCTGACCTTGTGAAGAGCCTTCCAGCTCTGAGATCCAAGGAGAGCCCAGGAGGGCGGAACCAACCTTCCTCAGAGGCTCAGGGGTCATTCCCTGAAAAACATCTTCACTAGGAGGGAGTTGAGTCCCACATCCTCCAATTATGCTGCCGTCCAGCCAGCCCACAATGGATCACTCAGATAACCATCGGGGGCTGCACACATTAACACTGGAACAATGCTGGCCGCTCGGGCTATTTTTACAGTAGCCATACGCCCGGCCGGACCCCCACATCACCCCAAGGGAGCAGGGCAAAGAAAGGCCATGCGGATGCCGCCACCAGTCTGCGCTCTGGGAGACAGAGGAAGGGCTCTGTGAGCCGCCCGGTGGCTCCAGGAAGCCTTTTCTTGGTCTGCTCTCCACCAGATAGCAAAACAATTGGGGTCCCCCACCCTGAGCCAGGGAGAGGAAGGAGGCGTGGGGGGAAACAGGGGTTCTGTTGTGCTTTTGTGCCTCTGCTCCTCCGGGCACGGCCCCTGTGGGCCTGGCTGCTGGGGCCGGGCCAACACGTCCCCTCTCCAGGCCCTAGGCCCTCGGGCAGCCCCCGCCTGGCTCTGCCTGGGACTGCCTTCCAGGCCAGGCCTCGAGGAAAGCAAGGCTGAGGCCCAGTGACTCGCCGAGTCCTGTGGCTGGGATGGGGCCGAGCTGGGGTTCACACTTAGCACCAGCTGCTCACAGACCCCACTCTGGGAACTGTCTACCCAACTATTCTCGCTTGATGACCTGCTGTGCACCAGGCTCTGGGCACATAGCAGTGGATGAGAGAGGTCCTTGTCCCCATGGGGGCACTACTGTGATTGAGGAGGAGGTAGTTAGCAAGGAGGCAAGGACGTGAATCAACAGCTTTTCAGGGAGTGCCCAGCAGTGTGGCAGGACAGACTCAGACGCCTGCGGACGGTGTCCTGAGAGCTGGGTGCTGAGCTGGCCCGGGCCTGCCCATGTGACGGGACCACGTTGTGTCCAGCTGATGGTTGCCAAAGGGAGTGTGAGCTACACACCGTCCGACCTTCCAGTTTTTCAAGAGAACCTAGAAATCTTCACTTTGCTCTGAAATCTGGTATTTTCAGTGGTGGCCACCAATTTGGATTGTGGGGACCAGTTGTGTCCAAGGCTGCTTGGCTGTAAGTTGGTTGCCTTTGCCATCACCCTTTCCATTGTGCAGGTGGAGAAACGAGGGTGGGCAGGCCCTCGAGCTCTGGCCCCTCTGCCTGGTAGGGGCCCACCCTTGGAGACGCCCAGTCCCTCTGGGTTGGGACCTCCCGATGCTCTTGCGCTCAAGACCAGGCTCCCAGGGAGAGCGAGCAGTAGGGACCTGAGGAGATATGGAAAGAAGGGGCTCTGTCCTGGCCTGGTGGCAGATGTCCTCTCGAAAGGGGTCCAAGCAGAGTGGGCTGAGAATGACCACAAACAGCTCCTGGAGGCTTAGGGATTTGACCTTCTCTGGGGGTCTTCCATTGCCAAACCGGACAGGGAATCAGGCAGGGAGCAGGGAGCCAGGAGGATACAAGGGTCAGAGCAGGCCAGAGAATCCATGGGGAGGGGTGGGCAAAGGGAGACTGACTGGCTTTCTTATGTGATCCTCACCAGTGCAAATTCCTTATTTTTTATGCTGCAGACATGAGACTGGTTAGCGAATTGCGAATATATTTCATAAACATGCATTTTCCGCACTTTGACGGAAACCCCACTTTCCAGGTGGTTCCCGGTCCAGCCCGCAGCCCCATCCTCATGGACTTCGCGTTTGTCTCTTCTCCAGAGAGTTGGGGTCAGGTGCCGCACTGCGTCCTGGGGGCCACAGGGGCTGTCGTTTTCTGTGCAGATCGAAATCTGGAAATAGTATCCATTCATTTCCAGAAAATTCAGGCAGGTGTTATTTGGAGGGTGCCTTAGAACTGTTTTGGATGTGTCGTATTTTGTAGCGATGGTGCCAGGGCAGGGGTGGCTTTGTGTCATGTGCTGCCATCAGGTGCAGGATGTGGTGGGACATTTGAGGACGACAAACTTGGGTTCGAGCTGCTTCTCTTCAGCAGTTGCCCAAGGAATGGAATCTGTGGATTTCTGAGCTGTCAGGTGTCCGATTGCCTGCAGGGGTCTGAGTCACTCAGGATGTTGTCAGATCAGTGGACGGACAAGGGGATGGTCAGCTCCCTGCCACAGGCCCGGGGAGGTCAGAGGCGAAAAGGGAGAAGTTGTATTGAAGACACACAGGCTGTTCCTTACCAACGACATCTTGGGTTCTGTTTTGTCCCCACAGAAAGCAAGGAGGAGATGGCCACCAAGGAGAAGCTGCAGTGTCTGAAAGACTTTCACAAGGACATCCTGAAGCCATCCCCAGGGAAGAGCCCTGGCACACGGCCCGAGGACGAGGCTGAGGGGAAGCCCCCACAGAGGGAGAAGTGGTCCAGCAAGATCGACTTCTTGCTGTCTGTGGCTGGCGGCTTCGTGGGCTTGGGCAACGTCTGGCGTTTCCCATACCTCTGCTACAAGAACGGTGGAGGTGAGTCTAGGCTGGGCAGAGAGGAGGGCAGGGACAGAGAGGGGGTGGCATCTTGTGCCCTGCTTGCCCTGGTCCCCACCTTGACCTCCCTCAGTCAGCCTTGCACCCTTGCCCCGCCCCGCTTGAGCAACAGGAGAGGAGCCTGCCTGCCTGGGAATCGGGGACCAGGGGCGCCCTGTCAGGGTCTTCCCGTGTTACCTCGAGCAGATCCCTCATACTCTGGACCGTTCAGTTTGCCATCTCTGAAGAGGGGTGATGGGACCCATGGCCCCCAAACCTCCAACACCCACACTCCCTGTGTGCCTCCTGACTCCTTACTTTATATCTTCCCTAACACTTGCTTTGGCTTCTCTAATTGAAACCAGATGTGGTTCAAAAGCAAGCCTCGCTTCCCCTCCTAAAGGGAAAACCAGTACTGTTGGCCATAATGGAAAGGTGTCCAGGAAAAAAGATACAGTAAAGAGATTTTTTTATTTTCCTGTTTTAATTAAAATTTCTTTTCCAGTTTTGCTGAGATATAATGAACGTATAACCTTGGATTAGTTCCAGGGGAACAAGGTCACGATTTGTAAGGTATACATGTTGTGAAACAATCGCTCCAAGTTTGGTTAGCGTGACTCACCTCAGAGTCACACAGTTTTTTTTTTTCTTGTCTTGAGAACTTTTAAAATCTCTCCCTTAGCAGGTTTAAGTGTTACAGAGTATTATTAACTATAGTCACGGGCTGTATATTCTGTCCCCAGAACTTACGTGTAACTGGAAGTTTGTAGCTTTCACCATTTTCACTCATTGAAGATATATTTTTTAAGGATTTTATTTCTTTTTAGAGATAGGGGAAGGGAGGGAGAAAGAGAAGAAGAGAAACATCAATGTGTGGTTGCCTTTCACAGGGCCTCCACTGGGGACCTGGCCTGCAACCCAGGCATGTGCCCTGACTGGGAATTGAACTAGCGACTCTTTGGTTCACAGCCCATGCTCAATCCACTGAGCCACATCAGCCAGGGCCATTGAAGATATTTTGAAATATCAAGGTCTTGGTTGGTTGGTCGGTTTGGGTTTTGGGTTTTTTTTTTAACCCGAAGGCTGAGAGCTAGAGCCTCTCTTGCGGTGGTGCTGCAGTCGGGAGGCCCGTGCTGGGACGGCCACTGTGCGGCAGTGGGGCCCGAGGAGACCCGGGCAGGGAGAGCTGCCCGTGACTGAGGGCTTGCCGGTCAGCAGAGGTGGGCGTGCTGCATACAGCCCACGTTAGGAGAACTGCCTTTCAGGAAATTCTGCCTTAGAGTCTGGTTTCTTAACCTTTTATAGGTCTCAGGTGCCTTTGGGACTCTGATGAGTGTTCTAGACGCTCCCCAGAGCAAAGCGCATACACATACACCCAAGTTGCCCACAGTTTCAAAGGGTTTATGGACCCGCTGAAGCCATTAGTGGACACCAGGTAGGAACCCTCGCCCCGGCTCTTTGCCCCTCACTCCTCCCCTGGCTCCCATCCCCAGCTGGAGGTGCCCACCTCTTGCTTCCCCATCGCCGCGCCCTTCCTAGCTAGTTTGCCTCAGCTTCCTGCTCTGGGCAGGCCTGAGGACAGGTAGGTGAAGGCTTCCATGAGGTGGTCCTGTTTGAGATGGGCCCTACGGGCCGAACAGCTCTAACTCAGATGGACAATGTGGGCAAGACAAGCAGGCAGTCGGCGCAGCTTCACCAGAGGCTCCGAGGCCTAAAGCACCTGGTAGACCTAGAGAAATTGAAAGGGCGCGCTGGCAAGGTGATGCCCGCTGGACAGGTGGGCAGGGCCTGGAGAATTCTCAACCGTGTCCAGGAATTTGGCCTTCACCCCTCACATCCCGCACACGTTCTCTCTGGTTCGTTGTCTGGGAGGGCTTGGGAGCGAGCACCTGCAGCTTCGGCTCTTGCGACAGACCCAGCCTGACCCCCATCCCGCTCTGCTCTCTCCACAGGTGCATTCCTCATACCATATTTTATTTTCCTGTTTGGGGGCGGCCTGCCTGTGTTTTTCCTGGAGGTAATCATAGGCCAGTACACCTCTGAAGGGGGCATCACCTGCTGGGAAAAGATCTGCCCCTTGTTCTCTGGTGAGTATGGGACAAAGGTCCGGGGCCCTGGTGTTCACTGGTTCTGCCAATTTTTATTGAGCACCTGCTTTTTGCCAGGTGCCTCATAGCCTCGTGCAGGTCACTTGGCACTGTGCCCATGAGAAGGTAGCAGCCCATACCTGATACACATGGTGCTGCTCACAGTGACTGCTCAACACATATCAGCTGGTCCCAGCTCCCTGGGCTGTCGAAGGGCAGGGAGCTAGCAGCTGCTTGGCGCTGTAGTGCAGAAGACAAGCACTTAGACTCAGGGGTCTTGCGGTCTGGGTTCCAGTCCCTCTTCCTTCTCTTGCTAACTCTTGTGACTTTGGGAAAGTCACTTAATCTCTTTGTGCCTCGATTTCTTCCTCTATAAAATGGAAACAGTATGCTTACTTCAGTGTGCAGACAAAATGACACAGTCATGTAAAAGCGCTTTGTCTTCATTGTAAGCCCCACATTAATGGTACCTTTACTATTATAACATTCAGTCCTATGCCTAGTACCTAGCATGCATTCATAATACTGTTATGATTATAATTGGCAAGAATGGGAGGATATGTATCTATTTAGTCACCCATATAAACCTGTCCATCTATTATTGTCCATCAAATCTTTCTTCTTTAAACTAGTCAATTTAATTAGATTATCCATCCATTTGTCTGTTCATGTATCCATCATCCGTCTACCCATCTACTCATTCCTCCATCTATTCATCTCCCTAACCTTCCAGCCAGTCACCAGCCATACATCCGTCCGACAAATCGCATGCCCACCCATCAGTCCAACACAAACCCATTCAGCTCTTTATCTGTCTCTCTAACCAGTTCTCCTACCATTCATCCATCTAACCACTCATTCATTGACCTATCCCACTTCCTTGCAGGATCTTCTATTCATCCAAGTATCCCATAAATCTAACCATCTGTTTTTTCACCCACCCATCCATCCATCCATCCATCTAGTCACCCATTCTCCTTACTGATATTTGCTGGTCACTGTTGAAGGTCCCCTCGGGGAGCCACAGCCTTCCATTAGAGCATGTGGACGTAGTGGGCCTGGCCTTCCTCCTGATGCGTGTCCTGCTTGTCCCCACCCACAGGCATCGGCTATGCCTCCATTGTGATCGTGTCCCTCCTGAATGTGTACTACATCATCATCCTGGCCTGGGCCACGTACTACCTGTTCCAGTCCTTCCAGTCGGAGCTGCCCTGGGCGCACTGCAACCACACCTGGAACACGCCCCACTGCATGGAGGACACTTTGCGCAAGAACAAGACCCTGTGGAGCACTCTCAACACCAGCAACTTCACCTCCCCTGTCACTGAGTTCTGGGAGTAAGGCTGGGCTCCCTGAGGAGGGAGGGAGGGCCGGGGTGGGGGCCGGGAAGGCAGCCCACTCCTTCCTCTCTCCCCAGCAGTGTGGGGCCGGGGAGAAGGTGGGTACAGATTTGGAGGTAAACCCGTGCCTTTGGTCCCAGGCCTGGAGTCCAGTCCCAGTTCTGCCATTTTATTGGCCATTTGATGTTCAGCAAGTATCTGCCCCTTTCTGAGCCTCAGTGTCTTTAACTGTGAAATGAGGGGAATGAATCGTTCTAACACCCATGGGATCTTTATGAGATTTTCTCCTGAATGCAGGTATATGTACTGATATTGTCTGAAAATGGTATAGTTTTCTTAATGTATTTTAGAAGAAATATAGTTAGCACATTGAACCTGTATGACACAGAGAAAAATGCATATGTGAAGCTAAAGTAGTTATTCAAGTGAAAAGGTAAACAGATACAGTGAAAATTATGTGTCAGTTAGCTTTTGCTGGTAACAACCACCCCACAACTCTTGTGGCTTTAAACAACAACCACTTATTTGGCTCAAGGTTTTGCTGATTGGCAGTTTGGGCTGACCTTGCCTGGGTGGTTGTTCTGGTCTATGCTGGGTTCCCTCATGGGAAGGTCAGCTATAGGGCATGAGGGTAGCTGTTCTGGGGCTTGGGGGGTTATTGGCTAGGGTGCCAGGGTCCATATGCATATGGTCTCATCACCCAGCAGCAATCTAAGCTTATTCAGAGGCAGCTTGACATTCCGAAGCAACAAATAAGAAAGTCCCAATCAAGAGCAGTTTTTAAGCCTCTGCTTATATCATTTTTTTTAAATGTCCTATTAGCCAAAGTAAGCCATAAGACTAACCCAGATTCAAGTGGTGGAGAAATAGGTTCTGTCTCTTTATGAGAGGAGTGGAGAATTGTGGGCACTTTTACATTTTACCACACTATTGTCAATAGGAGCACACACACAGGACAAACATCAGAAAGGCAGTGTGTGCGGGGCTTCAAGTCCGGTTACCTCTTAGCTGATACATGGGAAAGTTCTTCTAACGCAGCCCTTGGAGGCCAGTTAAAGGTATATTTAGTGCAGTACTTTCTTGCTCTTCATGGGCGCAGCCCCTCCAACTGGAAATAACTGCGACGAGGCCTTGCATAAAGCTTGAGAGCCTGGCGGCGGGGATGCTAAGGTGGACCCCACTCATCACGCCATGATTCTCCCTCTCTTGTGTGTGGCTTTGCTGTTTCCAAGGTGTCTCCTCCCCTCTTAGAACCCGGCCTAGGAGCAGGCCCACAGCAGAGGAGGCGGCTGCCTGCTGCTCGGCCCCAGGCATGCTTTGAGGCCGGAGCTGGGAAATAGTAGGCAAGTCAGTCAGTCCTCACTCAGATGGTGAATGTCGCTGTGTCCCTGTCATGACATGTGGGCCTTTCAGTGTATGCCCCCAGGTCCCCGGGGTTCTTTACATGCACACATTTCCCCCTGCAGACAGAGGGGGCATTGCAAGCACATTCGTCACCCCCTCAGCTGCCTACCCTTTGAAGAGCTGAGTTTATAGACAGAGAGATGCGGCACTTCATTCTTCTCACTTCAGCGGGCCTGAAACCACAGGCCTGTCCATTCTTTGCTGTGCGTGGCACAGCCTGATCACCGGGGCCTGTCCGCCCAGGACACTGGCACTTAACCCGCCACTTGGGCGCCTGCCAGGGCCTCGTGGCCTCGGGTTAGCTGCCTGGGCTCAAACCCTAGCTGTGCCACTTCCAGCCTAGCCAGGTGCCTCGCCTCCCTGGACCTTGGTGTCCTCACCTGTACCTGGAGAGGTCACAGCACTGCCCTCCCAGGGATGGCCAGCCCGAGAACCTGTGTGATAAATAGCGGCCATTGTTACTTATTTAGTGTCCTCAAAGTGGAGAAAACTCCAATTCACAGGTCCTCTTGGCTCTCCCTTTAAAGTATAGTCAGAGTCTGACCACCGCCCCCACCTACACTGCAGCCCTCCACCTTCCACCTTGGGACCCTCATCCTCTCTCTCCAGACCCAGCACTGGCCCTCCCTCTGCCTGCCTTGCCCTTGCATGTCTGTAGTTGATTGTGAGTCCAAACATGTTGTTTCTCAGCTCAGAATCCTCTCGTGACTTTTCCCATACTCTGATCTCACCCAGCCCGAGAGGATTTTAAGTGTTTCTGCTCAGTAAGTGCTCACTGACTGCTGAATCTTCTTTAAAATTTTATTTATTTATGTATATTTGGAGAGAGAGGAGAGGAGGGAGAGAGGCAGAGAAATATCAATGTGTGGTTGCCTCTTGCGTGCCCCCTACTGGGGACCTGGTCTACAACCCAGGCCTGTGCCCTGACTGGGAATCAAACTGGCGACCCTTTGGTTCACAAGCCATCACTCAGTCCACTAAGCCACACCAGCCAGGGCTAATTCTTCTTATTAATAGATATCTGCATCCACTTGGTGGTGTAGCCTGGGACAGCAAGTCACTACCCCAGTTCTGGCCTCATTTTCCCTTCTGCAAATGGCCATCCATATAAGCTGGGCTTTGAGGGGTAAGTAGAAGCTCACCAGGCTGAAAAGGCGAGAGAAAGGGCATTCTGGGGCAGAAGGGACATCCCGTGCATCCTGAAAGCACACGATTGTTTTGGGAGCAGCAAGTCATTGATTTAGTCAGAGCGTAGAACACCTGGGGCCAGGGAGAAGGCCTGAGGCCTTGAATGTTAGGCTGAGTTTGAGCTTTACTCTTTGTTTTTAGCAGGGGGACCCACGAAAGGCATACAAGAAGGGGAGTGACATGAGTGAATCTGTGTTTACTGGACATTGCTTAAGGAGCACTGGTGGGAGAAGAACTGGGGCATGTATTACGCACTGACTCTGTACTGGGCCTCAGGGGGCTTAGCCATCAGTGGGTCTGGGATCCCTTCGGGGTGAGATTCAGCTTAGAGGACTTCCCCTGAAAATAGCCACCAGCTCCCCAGTTAGCGGCTCTGGGGTTTCCATGGAGAAGGGCTTGCTGGGCTGATACTGAAGTGTGCCTGGCCGGTTCCCGTGTTGGGCTGCACAGCAGGGTGGGTCTGCCAAAGGCCGGCGCCCCTGCCCCTCGAGGTGAAGCCCCATCGCGGCTGTTGTTTCCCTTCTCTTACCTGCACCAGACGCGTGGGCCCCTGAGCTGTCTTTTCCGCGGGCAGATGGTTGCCAGCTGGGTGCTCACGAGCTCCCTGGGAATCAAAGCAGCGAGGCACCGTGGGACCCGATACTTCCTCCTGTCCCTGGACGGAGGAGCACCTCCCTGATCATCCCTGCTCCCCTCCAGTTGGACAAGAGGAGACGAGAGAGAGCGGGGGTGGTGCTCCACCCCTTAGCGTGGGAGGCTGCCCCGGCTCCCCCCGTCCCCGCTGCACACCCTCGGGGCAGCCACCTCACCTGTCCAGACCTCACAATAGCGTGGTGCCGGCACCCACAGCCTGCCAGAGTGTTAAAGCAGTTAAGACAGGGCCTCCAGGTGGGGCTTAGTAGATAGGACACGGAGGACCAGAGAGGTGAGGGGACTTGTCAGAGGGTGCTCTCTAGCCGAGTTCCCAGCTCTGTCCTCAGCCACCAGATGCTGCTTTCAGTGTCTGTTTCCATGAGCTTCGAGTCCAGGCCAAGTCCAGGGCCGCCGGCGACATGCCATGTGTGTGTGTGTGTGTGTGTGTGTGTAACCCCACTCCGAGGTTATGGGCGGGGTCTTCTCTTGGCCTGGACCCCCTGTGCCCACCCCCTCTGCAACGCTAAAGTGCCACACTCAGCGGGGGCCAGTGAGGGGCCCTCTGCCAGATCCCTGGGAAAGCCATCTAGCCATCTGTCCTCCGAAGGTAGTCGTTACACACTGGTTTTATCATTTAACTCCGAGTCGGTGCATAAGGTGGAAGCAGAGCTTCCTCCCCCAGTCATCTTGGTCCTGTTCATCCCTACTCTGGGGTCCCATCTGTCCTGAGGGTCCTGCCTTACCCCTAGCCCTGGAGGGAGACAGGCGGGGCCGAGGCTGGCCAGTGCCCTCTTTCCTCCCCAGTTCCTCCAGAGCCCTCTGGGAGCTCAGCACGTATCATTAGACTGTATTAGAATCAAAGAAATGAGTCATATTTGCAAACAAGCCCTGCTCAGCCAACCTTCCCCTGCAGCTGTGGGAAGGGGGAGGCGGGGGAGAAGCCTTGTGTGGCCCCATGCTCAGGGCGGACGGGCTCTTTTATAATTGTTGCCTCCATCAGTCTCCAGGGAAGAGCCATCGCCAATAAATGGCTGGCCCGCAGTCAAAAGGAAACGATTTGGCCCACTTGGAGGACGTATTTACATCTCTGAGTGCCGGCTGGACGGCAGCAGGCTGGCCGACTCAAAACAGACGTCCAGGCAATTCTTTTTTGGATCCCACCCTGGAATGAATCATTACTATTCTTGGACAAGAATGCAGCTCACCTCTGTCTCTCCTCCCTCTGTTCGAAAGCTGCAGGGGAGTTTGGGAGGCTGGGGCCCTCGTGAAGGGTGGCGTAGGACTCCGCACCCTGGTGGCAGGTCCCCAGGGTGGCATCAAAAAAAGAGACCAGGCCCAGGGTTGATTTTTAGCTGGATAATTTCAGGTGAATTCGTGAACCGATCAGAGCCTCAGTTTCTGCATCAACCAAATGGGTGTAATTGGTTTACTCAGCTGATGTCTGTTGAGCCTTTCCTGTCTGCCAGGCATGTTTCTGAATCCAGCAGGGATGAAGACGGACACAGGTCCTGTCTCCATGGAGATGTCGTTGTGGTAGAACAGACATGAAACAGACACCACAAACCAAATTTTAACAGAAAAGTGATAGGTGATGGAAACTAGAGCCAGGGCAGGGGAAGGAGAGTGGCCAGGGATGCTTTTCACACAGGGTGGTCGGGAGAGGCCGGCGACCCTGGTGAAGTGGTGTTTGAACAGAGACCTGAAGTGGGCGGGGGGTTCAGAGATCCTGAGGCAAGAGCATGCTCCACCTATTCTGGGAATATTCCAGAAGGCAGTGTGGCTGAAGAAGGAAGGGAAGGGGGCCGTATGGGAATGAGGCCCCCATAGGGACTACCCACTGTACGTGCAGCTTGTCCTGGACACGTCCTATTTATACCGGGGGTCCTGGGGTCATTACTAGGCACCATCATCCTAGCAGGTGTCAGGGTCTAAATGATAAGAGTGTTTGGACATGTTCAGGGAAACAAGAAGGAATGGGGCAAGTGGGGGGAGGGGGTGGCGGGCCTGTCGGCCAGGTAGTTTGGAGCCACAGGAGGGTGAAGAGAGGAGGGCATGGCCGGTGCGGGTGTTGACAGCTTGCCAAGAGCCAGCTAGAGGCTTGGAGCAGAGGCAGGAAAAATGAGCTGCTGCCACAGCCCTGGGGAGCAGCGAGGTGGTGGTGGTGGTGGGGGATGTGACCAGGTTCAGGGCAGGCTGGCATGGCCAGGAGCCACCTGCGAGGGGTGGTGCACACAGCAGTCCCTTCAGGGCATGGCGCTGCAGTTTTCTGAGCACCAGAGAGGTCCAGCAGATCCGGATCTGCTCTGTGGCTGAGGCTGGTGGTGGTTGGGCGGTGGGGCAGGGTCTGACAGGGAAGGGACCTGTGGAGGGTTCTTTGAACTGGGCCCCCTCAGAAATGGATTCAGATAGACCCACACACTTTCCGGCCTTTGTGGCTACACTTGAGATAACCTTGGAAAGGATGGGTGTCTGTCGCTTTGGCCCCAAGCCCATGTCGGGCTGAGTTAGGACAAACTATGATTGATGAGACATGTCCCATTCTTAGAACATCTGCATGGCCCATTACAAACATGTTCTAGAGTTTAAAATAATTTGTATAAAGGCGATAGGTGCACATTGAAAACATTCGAATAATGAAAAAGTATATTTAATGCCAAGCGAGCCCCGCCTCCCCCCACCCTCCCCAGTGGGTCCTCCCCAGTGGCAGTGACACAGCCATTGTGTTGCACGTCCTGCCAAAAACCTTCCTGCGTGTTTGAGCGCAGTGTGCACCCACCCCTTTCACACAATAGGGGGCACGCCTGGGTGCTGTTCCTCACCTGGCTTTGTTCACCTGTGTGTCTCCAGGACGGAGTTCCTTATCGGCACCCAGGGAGCTGTCCCGAGTGGGCGGGCTGCAGAGCATCCCACTGTGTGTCTGTGCCTGCTGCGCCCTGTCGACGGCCATTTGGGCAGCTGCCAGGGTTTGCTCTTACAGACGGCTCTGCGGGTGGGCCCTGACTTTGGCTGCACATGCCAGTGTGACTGGAGAGGAAGAGTCTCAGGACCGGCATTGCTGGGTCGAAGGAACCAGGCCCTACCCTGTCACCGGAGGCACCGTGAGATGGTACAAGGAGATTGCCACCAGTAGGAGGAAAAGCAAGCCATGCTCAGGTTCCTGTCCGTGGCCGGCCTGGCCCGTCAGTTGTCTACAGCAACCAGCGTGGCAGCTTCCCGTTTGCAGTGGGCACCGCTGGTTTCCCCAGAAAGGTGTTGGTGAACTGGCTGCTGGCTTAATGCCGGCAGAATCCCAGCTCTGAGGTTTCTGGCTTCTTGGCCAAATTGCTGTTAAGGAGAAGGCCGTCTTATGACTGGGTGCCTCCTCAGCATTAGCTGAGCACCTACTGTGTGCCTGCCTGAGGGATTCTTGTCTTTGGGTTGTCTAGATCCTGGTAGGCAAGCCAGACTTGTCAGCAAGGGTGACACCCAGTGTGAGGACAGGCAGGGGCTCTGGTCGGTGGTCTGCAGAACAACGGGAGGGCTTCCCCGGAAGCACAAGGACGGCGTGCGTGGCCTCGGAGAGGGAGCAGCGCTGCAGAGGTGGGAAGGACTCTCTCCCTGCCACTGCCATTCACGGGAATGCCGTGGGCCTCTGGCCGGCATGCCCTGGGCCTTCAGTGAAGGCACTGAGCTCTGGAGGCTGCGCAGGGAAGGCTTCTTGTTTCAAAGCTGCGGCAGCCGCCAGACCAACGAGCTTGGCAGGGCCCCAGGCGGGATGCAGTTGGCGGCCAGCCCTGCCTTATGGGGATGTCCGTGTTCTCCTGCTGCAAGGTTCCAGGTGATTCCGGCCCGGAGCGGGGCCTGGAGAGATTCTTTTTAAAGTTTGGGCTCTATTTTCTCTGTGAATCAGAGGGGCAGTTAGGTCCAGAGGCCCTGCTGGGCTTTGGAGGCAGGCGGGCCTGGGCACAGGGGCGCCAGCCCTTCCCTTGCTGTTGTGGGGGGCAGTGGGCCCCCAGCCTTGTTTCCGCATCTGTGAAAGGGGGCAAATGACCTCCAGTCCTCAGATCAGATGATGTAAATTGAAAAGAACTTTTCGGTGTCGCCACAAGCATCCACCGTCCTGCGTGACAGTGGGAAGCCCACTGATGTTGGGATGACCAGCTAAAAAAAAGACAAAGGAAAGCCACCCCTTCTTAAGGACAGCGGAACTATCTCATGGCTTGGTTCAGAGTGACCTGCAAACTTTCCATTCACCTAGTGAAGTCCTTTCATTCCCTCAACATATATTTATTGAGGCCCTACTAAGTGCCGTGTGCTGTGGTAGGTGCAGAGCACAGCAAAGAAAGGCCTGGCTCGAATGCTAGTTGAGTGGGAATTTCAAACCTGTCCAGGGTTCTCGAGTTGAAGCTTCTCTGGGGGGAAAAAAGAAGTAATGAAAACACGTCCCAGAGTCCTGACCGTGGGAGCACCCCACTGCTGGCTGAGAGCTGGGCGTGGCCTGCAAGGCTTTCCCAGCGGCATCCTGGGCGGGAGCCAGTCATGTTTTGCAGATGAGGAAACTGAGAGAGAAAGTCACACAACTCTTTCCACCCCTCCTGCTTCAAACAGGGAGCTGACTTTCGTGAGAGGGAACCCAGCATCTGCCAGGGGGGCATGCGCGCTCTGCCTCCCATGGTGTGTGGACTGGTGACCTCAGGGGTCAATGTCCCTTTGCTCAGCATGGCTGCCCTTGGTCAGTGCTGCAGCAGTCAGAGCTCTGGGACAGGGGGGGACGTTTCTGGGCATCAGGTTGCCTGGTCTGCTCAGCTGTCGGCGCCTTGTGCTGCCCTGGCCTGGTCTGGCCTCAGACGGCATCTGCCCCGTGGGCTGTGTCCGAGCAGGGCTTGTGGCTGCCCTGGGCTGATTGTCCTTCAGATGGCTACCTGTCTCCTGTCTTCCTGACTCTGCAAGGGGCAGGTTCGGCAGCACTGCGCAGGTGCCAGCAGCTGCTCTGGGCCTCTCAGCATCATGACAGTTAGAGCCACTGGGTTTCTCCGTGGCTGGCTGCAGCCCCTGGCCCTGTGGTTTGCGCTTTGTGTGGCTTTTCACGGAATCCCTGTGAGGAGGTGGGGGGTGTTCTAGGGCCACAGGTACAGTACTCTGTCCCCCTTGAGGCTTTCATTTTAGTGAGAGATCCAGAGAAGAAACATGAATAAAATAAAAGGGGCATGGGGCAGCATGGGAGGGGACGGTGGCCGTTCCCGTGTTAGGGGTGAGAGTGGCGTCTGGGAGGCTGGGTAAGTGGCACAAAGCCCAAGACTCCACGGCGGAGCCGGGTCTGCTGAGCATCGGTGACACGGTTCTCGTTTCACAGCCGAGGAGACTGAGGCTTGGGGGTTCACGTAACTTGCCCAAGGCCAGGCCGGGTTGGACCCAGGCTCACTGCCGCAGGAGTCGGGACTCATCCCCTGGGTGACTCCTCGGCAGCTCTGTGAGGAAGGTGGGAGCCGTTTCCCGAGACCAGTGGGGACTTCCAGGGCCTGGAGAGGCCGGCCGATCTGGGATTTGAACCCAGCTTGCCCTGAACTCGGCCCGACTGACTCGAGGCTCCGTTTGCTTCCAGGCGCAACGTGCTGAGCTTGTCTTCTGGGATCAACAGCCCCGGCTCCCTGAAGTGGGACCTCGCTCTCTGCCTCCTTTTCGTCTGGTTGGTCTGTTTCTTCTGCATCTGGAAGGGCGTCAAGTCCACGGGGAAAGTGAGTTGTGCTTCTGTCCCTCCCCTGCCTCACGGAGACGGGCCTTGGCCGGAGAGCGCCTCCCGCCCCGCAGGCCGCCTGCCCAACCCCCGCGCTCCCCTAGGTCGGGGGGTGGGCTGATAAACCAGTCCTGGAAAAGCATGTGAAGCCCTGGTGTGGCGAGTTGCCTCCTGTCAGGATAGAAAGACTCCCACCACGTCTGATTTCAGGTTATCGCTGGGTCGATAACAACCAACCCGCAAAATTCCTGGAAGTGCAGCAGCCGGCTCTCTGCAGCCTGCACGGGCTCCCACACGCCTCTGGTTCCCCATCAGGGTGTGGGCCGAGAGCAGCTGTTAGCAGATACCTAATGTTGCGGTGGTAACGGATAAGTTAGCTGGAAACGAGGTTTTCTGCAATTCTGTTCGTCAGCAGCTCTTCACGGAAGAGCATGGGCCCTCGCTTCTTCCCTTGGGTCCCCGACTGGCTCCCTGACCCCTGGGGGCTGATTAGACGTGCAGAGCCCGAGGGCCTGCCTTGGACTCCCAGTCAGAATCTGCCTTTGAATAGGAGCCCAAGAGAATCCAGATTTATACTGAGGTTAGAGAAGCGCTGACTTGGATTTTTGCTGTGAGGTCAAATTAACTAAATCATCGTACCCCTAACATTTTAGCTGCTAACTAAGATGTTCTTTATTAAAGAAAACTGTCCCTGATGATTAAGTCCCTCACTCACAACCAGGATGTTAGTTGTTAACCAAAATGTTGGCCGTGACTGACACACGTGCTGCTGATTAATGTGTCACCAGATAACTACGAGGATGTAAGCTATTAACAAAGGCGGTGGTGGGTCATTAGAATGCCAGCCTTTAATTCAGATTTCAGGTATCCACTGTTACATCTATATTGGCAATAATGGAAATGTTAGCCTGTAACTAAAACGGTCTGTGTTGACAGAGCCGAACACTTACCTGCTAACCAAGCCAGGGACCGGCGTCACGGCCACTGTCATGACAGAGTCAGAGCACAGGGTCTGTGGTTGGAGGTGTGAGCCTGCACCCACGGCGTGAAGCCAGTAGCTAGGGGGTCGGTTTGATCTGTTTTTACATGTCCCCCCACCCCCCGTTAGTTGCTTCTTGATAGGGAGGAACAATCTCTAAGATCAAAGAGCCCCCAAAGGTCAAAAGAGCATCTTAAAGTCATAGTTGAGGTGCAGTGGTGGGCAGTAGAGACGCCCACTGTCCCTTGAAGAAGGGGCCGTGGCCACACCAGAATTTACAGTTGAGGACCATGTGCCCTATGGCTGAAGAGCCTGTAGGCAAAGGTGCAGCCGGATCTGAACGGATTTCAGCTGCGCGAGACCTGGGCCCCGGCGGTGGCGGGGGCAGGGTGGGGTTGGTTCTGGAGTGGGGGCCTGCCCCTCCCACGCTCTCTGCCTGTTCCTCGGGGCAGAACTTCCCTGCCTGGGACCCTAAAACCCAGTGTGGAAAGGAAGCAGGCCAGGCTTCAGAAGTCCCCACCTGCCCGGCCCTAGCCAACAGTGTCCCCGAGGACGGGCGGCAAGGGGGCAGCTCCCTGGTGGCCACCCACCCGTGTCATCCCATTGTGTCACTGCCTCTCTTTAAACAATGAGGAAACTGAGCAGAGAGTCAAAGCTGCTTGTCCAAGGCAGCTCCCTTGCCTTGAGCCTCAGTTTCGTCACCTAGAAAGTGGGTGGTAAAGAGGGTTAGAACACCAGTGCCGTCCTCACCCCGCCTCCATTTCCCCACGTGGAGGTGAGTCTGTCAGGAAGTCCCCGGAGCACTGGTCCCGAGCAATGCTGGGCTGGACCACTCCTTAGCTCTCACCGGCCGTGAGCCTCTGCGCCCACCAGATGCTGCTGTCCGAAGGGGGCCAGGCGTGTACAGGACTCAACAAATAGACAGAAGCCCTGTGGTCCAGTGCTGACAGAGTCTTTGGCTGTAACAAGGGAAATGTGTAAAACACTGGCTGGGCCAAAGTAGGTTTACAGTTGAGAGTACTTGAAATACAGCGTTTACTCTGATACTGGTATCCATGAACAATTGTATTTTCTGTATGGTAATACAATTTAAAATACTGTAAACCTGCTTCTGCGTGACCCTCCAGTGAAGTGAGACAGTGACAAGACGGAGGAGGAAGACTGATGTGCAAAAGAGAACAGGCAGTGTCAGGCGCCACGTCAAACAGGGTGGCCAGGCCAGGCTCACTGAGAAGGGGACGCTGGCGAGGGTCTGAAGAAGTGAGGGGGGAGGCTGTGGATCCCTGGGGGAGAGGGGACAAACAGCTGGTGCAAAGGCCCTGAGGTGTGCCTGACCAGACCCTTCGGGAGCCCCCAGTCTGATGGAGGAGGCCAGTGTCCACTGGGAGCAGCGGGCAGCAGTTGGGCCACAATGGAGGAGGCAGGAGAATGGAGTCAAGGCACAAAGTAGTTCCAGGCTGCGAGTGTGGCCAGTTGAAGATGTGACCTGTTAAAGATCTCCTTGCCTGCCCCTCGAGACAGCCTCCTCCGGCAGCTCCAGGCCCCTGAGGGGCGGGCGTGGTTCCCAGGACAATAGTAGGGTCTGGGCCAGCCCACAAAGGCCAAGACAAAGGCACAGTTAGACCCAATGGCCGCAGCCTGCCAGCCACTCAGCCACTGACCAGCCACCAGCCCTGGCTTCCAGCCCTAGCTGCAGGCCAAGTTCACAGCCATCACGGTCCAGGGAGGTGATGAAGTCCAGACCCTCACACAGGAAGTACAGTCCCGGGGACCCAGTGGAGGGCCCTAGCATGCACGTGTTCTGAGGCTGTGCCTCCAGGGTAGTGTCGGCAGTCAGAGCCGGAGCCGGTTTGGGGTCTCAGCGCTGTCCCCACAAGCTACATAACTGTGGGCAAACCTCTTTCCCTCTCTGAGCCTCACTACCCCCTTGGGAGAAATGACTTAGCAATGCCATCCCCTCTCTACTCACAGGGGTGCTGTGAGGACCCTCAGGGCCCGCTGAGGCACTGGCTCCGACCACGGCCCCACCTCCCTAGACCTCCTTGCCGCAGAGGAAGCTCAGGGCAGCAGCAGACCAGCCCATCTCTCTCCTGCCTCAGAGGCTGCCCTTTCCCCTCTGTCACTAGAAAATGAGGAAGAGTCCTCCTCGAAAGTTTCCAGGGCAATTGGGCCATAGGGCATTTGGGTCAAGGGCTCGGAGGAGCCACAGAGGTTTGCCAGCAAGAATGGAAAACTACCATGTCCCGTGGCAAGGCCTGCTGGGCCACCGCCGGGGGCCCACTGGCGGCGGCTGGCACCAGCCTCTCCCACAAGGATCCCGGAGGAGTCACGGAAAAGTTGAGAGAAAGGCTCTCAGGGGCTTGTCCTCAGAGCGGTAAATTTTGCAAAACAAGGATGGCTTTGCAAGGAGGCAGCCGAGGCTCTGTCCATTCTGGGTTTGGGGAAGAACACAGTGACAAACAGGAGACACAGGACCCTGAGCCTAGCTGGCCCAGAGCCGATTCCAGCTCTGCCACCTGGGAGCTCTGTAACACCAGCACCCGTTCGCAGGGTGAGCAGTACCTGCGTTAGCATGCATCAGCTCTTAGCGTGGTGCCTGGCACTCAGTAAGCGCTCCATAAGTGCTTGTTAAACAGATTAAATACAGAAAAACAAGGGAAGCCACCCCCTTCCCCTGGTGGTGTCCTGTGTCCCTGACACAAAGCCCTCTGGCCACTGCTCGGCTGTCCAGCCCAGCGGAGCCCAGCTGGCTTTGAAGTAACCGCCCTCTGGGGACAGCCTGCTGTCAGCAGCTATTGTCCGCCAGCCCGGGTGTGGCCCCCATAGGCCCAGGGTGGGGACTGGCCGGGGGCCTGTCCGCAGGAAGGGAGGAGCGGCCTGCTGGTTTTCTTCTTGCACCCCTTCAGGGGCTCCCTGCCCCAGGGGAGGGAAATCAGGTGGCTGGGGAAACTGAGGCCCCGAGGAGCGAGGGCATCCGGGGAGAGTGCAGCAGAGGCAGGAGCAGGGCCCCCCTGTCTTATGGGGCCATCGGGAGAACTTCCTCCCTGCTGAGGTTTCTTGAGGGTGCACCGCAAGCCAGGCGGGAGCGAGGTAAGCACGCAGGTTTCCCTCTGCCCAGCTGGGAAGTGGCAGAAGCCAGTACAAACCCCAGTCTGTGCCCCAAGCTGACACTCTTGGCCACTTCCCCCGCCCCACCCCGAGGGAGCCTCAGAGCTCATCTGGTCTGAGCACGCCCTGCTTCACAGCTGGGGAAATGGAGCCCAGAGAGGGGCAGTAACTTGCTCAAGGTCTCCCACTAAGCCAGTCCCAACCCCTGGAGGACCCCAGCCTCCCTCCTTTTGGGGGGGATTGACTGACCTGCCAGGCACGGAAGGGCTTCTTACTGCTTGAGTTGTGGTCTGGAGGCGGGCCCCGGGGAGCGTCCCGCTCTGCCACTCCAGCTTGCGGGACCCACGGAGGCAAGGAACGACTCTGGGCCTGTTTCCTGGCCTCCGACATGCGGGTAGCGATAAAACCTCCCTCACAGAGGGAGGACAGGTCTGACTGTGTGTAGCACTTACTGCACTTGGGATAGCGTTGGGCACACGGTAAGTGCTCAATACATGCTGGTCGGCGGTATTGACAGTGGGCAGCTGAGTCAGCCAGGCCCTGAAAGCGTCCTGGTTGTCCTTAACTGAAGCCCTTTCCTGCCTGTTTCCACACAAAGAGGTGGTGGCTGCCCAAGAATTATGCCTCACCAAGGGTTCCTGTGCCATCCGGGCGAGCTCTGTCACCCTCTGTCAGTGTCTGTCACCCTGCTGGCCCCCAACAGTGCTCCGTGGCACCCTGGCACTGCCTCCTGTCCCCTAACACGCCAGCATGTCTATGCTGTTTGCAGCCTTAGTTTCCCCACCTATAAGGTGGGTATATTGGCTGCGTGGTGGTTCCTCCCTAGTTTCTTGACCCGCAAGGCCCTCAGAGGAAGCTGGGGGTCTGGGAGCAGTTCCTGAGCCCTGCCGAGCCTCAGTTCCCCCCATCAGCAGGCGGCCAGTGTATCAGTTTGAGGAGGGCGCGGTGACATGACGTGGCCTTGTGCCTGAAGAGTTGCAGCTCAGCTGGGGCCCTGCTGGACGTCTCAGGGTTTCACATCCATTGAGCCACACGCCTTCGAGCTCCTTGCAGGCGTAAACCTTGCCCGGAATCTTCTCCTTGTGAAGAAAATGGTGGGGAAGTCCATCTCCAAGAACTGAGGCCACAGGACGTTTGGAGACCAGTGCTTTAGGGTCAGGAGGAGGAGAGAAAGCAGGGCAGGCCCTTGGGGACCAACGGGCCCAGGCTGGGTTATCTCTCGTCCACACCTTGCACTGACCTTGGCCTGTCTGGGTGTGCTCTGTGACCCAGGGGAGGCTAAGGGCCTGCCATAGCTCCAAGGGAGTGGAGGGCCTTCCCCGTCCTGGCCGAGGGGCTTGAGAGGCCTCATTGCCTCCCCAGAGCTTCCCGCAAACTCGGTGTCGTCAGTGGGCCCCGTGCCTTGAGCACCTCAGGGTCAGGCCTTTCTCAGTCACGTTAGAAATGCCATCCCATTGAGTCTTGGTCTCACCGCTTGACGACGACTTTCTCTGTCTGTCTTCGTTTGACACATGAAACAACAGGCCCGAGAGGTTAAACTTGCTGCTGGAGGTCACCCTGCAAGTGTGGGGGTGGGGGGAGCTGGGGTTTGAAGCCGCTCTTACTGGTTCCTAACCATGAGCCCTACTAGTAGTTGCGATGTGAGCTCAGGTGAACTGCGTGCCATGTGCCAGCTCCCAGGCTGAGCCTCGTTCATACGCACTTGATAGTTTACTTCCTTTTTTTGATATTTTACTTTCTTATTTTGCATTTTCCACCTCTACCCTCTAGAATGGTAGTTCTGTGGGAGCAGGGATTTGTTTTCTGTTTTGTCCATCACTGTATTTCTAAATATAAATATTTATAGGATTTTTTCATTGAATCTTAGTGAATCTATGAGGTAGGTACTTATAACCCACCTCATACTTACATAGGTGAGACAACTGTGGCCCAGAGAGGTTAAGCAACGTGCCCAAGGTCACACAGCAAGTGAAACGGCAAACAGCCACAGAACCCCCGCCTCAGGAAAGATTCTCTAATTTAACAGCAGCAGGTGGTGCCACAGGCCTCCCTGAATCTCTGTCGTCCCTCGCAGGTTGTCTACTTCACGGCCACTTTCCCGTTCGCCATGCTCCTGGTGCTGCTGGTTCGGGGACTGACGCTTCCTGGTGCGGGCGCAGGCATCAAATTCTATCTGTACCCTGACATCAGTCGCCTTGAGGACCCACAGGTACTGTGGGGCGGCCTGTCCTCCCTCCCACCCAGGGCTGTGGTTCTCTCGTGCCATCTCCCCCTAGTAGTTTTCCACTGGGCAGCGGTGGATCGTTCACAGCGCTGTGGGCTTGTCCGACTAGCTGTGTGTGTATCTTTTCATGCTGAGGACTCCAGAGGCAGGCCAATTATAGAGTCTTCTTCAGGCGCCGCGCCAGGGAAGAGAGAGAAGTCTTTCTGAGCGAGTTTCTCCTTGGACCTGGCCTCTGTCTGCGCCAGCTGAGAGAGCTGCTAGCTTCCTTGGCCAAGGGTGGAATTCAGAGTTGGTGACCTTGGAAAGTGGAGGCATCAGTACTGAACATCCGCCTCTTGGCGCTTGGCCATGTGACCACAGGGGATTGGAGAAAAGCCTGGGAGATTTTATGGGCCTGTTTAGGGATCTTTTTGTCTCCAGGACCCTCAACGTTCAGGTTGCTACTTTGGGTCTCTTCCCCTTTCTCTTCTCGCTCTGGGCAGGCGGGGCGGCGGGGGGGGGGAGTGGGACAGGGCTTGGCTGATGGCGTCAGAGGACGGCATGGAAGGCAGCTTCGTGGCCCTGAGGAGGCCTGCCTAGTGAAGGTTCTGGAGAGCAGCTTTGCCTGCATCAACCATTAGGGGATTCTTCCCCTTTCCAACTTAGGGTCCCCAGACAAGAGCAGTTACAGCAGAGACAGCAGCCTTGACTTCTCACTGGCTGCCACTGGTGCTGGGCTGGGTCCTTATTCTCTGAACCAGCCAAATAGCCCTGCGGGGCGGGGCTGTGGAACCCACTTCACAGAGGCTTCGGGAGTCATACTGACTTGCCCACGTTGACTCTACGGTTGGAATCCAGATCCATCCACCTTAAAAGCCCATCCAGATCCATCCACCTTAAAAGCCCAGCCTCTTAACTCAGATTCTGAGCGATGGGGTTTCTTCCACTTTGGGGGTTCCTTGCAGCTCGGTGTTGTCTTCAGAGGCACCTGCATTCCAGCACGGATGCTCCAGTTGCGATTGCGAATCTGTACATTTTGAGGGGCAGTCCTCAATGGTCAGGTGGCCAGGGACCCACGCTGCCCCCCCCAGGAGGCCAGCTCTAACAGCCCCTTCTCTCTCTCCCTGCCACCCGCCCCCCACCTCCCCACAGGTATGGATCGATGCTGGGACCCAGATATTCTTCTCCTATGCCATCTGCCTGGGGGCCATGACCTCACTGGGGAGCTACAACAAGTACAAGTACAACTCGTACAGGCAAGTGATGTGCCGGCGGGCCTGGTGAACCTTAGAAATGATGATGATGTTTAAAGAAAAAAAGAGAAGAAATAGGGAGCGTGGCTTCCTTGTGTTGTGAATTAACTTGCTCCCTGACATATGTGTAACTTAGGGACTGTATGCTGCTGGGATGCCTGAACAGTGGTACCAGTTTTGTGTCTGGCTTCGCAATTTTTTCCATCCTGGGCTTCATGGCACAAGAGCAAGGGGTGGACATTGCTGATGTGGCTGAGTCAGGTATGGTGGTATTGGTGGCAGTGGTGGTGGGCACTGCCACCTAGTGTGTAAGATGAGTACTGCAGGCATGAAGCCAGACCCCAGGGGCTTTGGAGGGGGGGGGACGAGCCTGGTTTCCACAATGGACCCCCCCCACCAAGATGTCCCATAAGTACCAAAGAGTGCAGAAGCTAAATTTTAAACACTTTCATTGCAATTTGGCCAAGGGGCGGCAGAAACATGGGTTTGGTTAAGTTGGGGGATATTTAGCTACTTTTGTGTGGTCTTGCCCTCTCCCCCTGCTCCCCCAGCAAACTCCTGGTTTCTACAACAGAAACCACTGTCCTAACTCAGGCCCAAGCCAGCCACCCGTCGGCGTTCCATCACCATCTTCTCAGCTTTGGTTTCTGTATTTTGCACTTTGCTCCCAGCGCGCTCCCTCTAAACAAACCCATTCATTCATTCCACTGATGTTTAATGATTTATCGAGTCTCTACTCTGTGTCAGGCACCACCGTAGGCTTGGGGTGGGGAAGACACTGGGCACAGCAGGCCGCCCTCTGGGACAGGGACAGATCTGATTTCGGGGGGTGGGTTGAGGGGACACTGTCACCCTCATGGGGTGTGGGCCCAATTGGCAGTGTGCTCCTCCCCTGGACACTTGGAAATGAAGGAAATATTCCTAGAATCACAGACTCTCCAGAGCCTGGGATCTTAGGCTGGATCCTGGAGTTCCAGCAGGATCTGTTCCAGTATCTGGGAACCATGAGGCCTTCAGCTGCTAGAAATCTAGAGCCTCAGAACCACAGTTTCTCAGGTGCCTGAATTCTAGTGCTTGCCATGATATGCTGAGTCCTGGACTTGTAGCTTTAAGACGGCAGTGGCTTAGGCGTGGGAATGAGAACCTTAGGCTCCCAGGATCCTCTTAGTCCACCTTTCTGGCTTCTCCGCCCTTTCCCAGGCCTGCCCAATTCACCTGCAAGGTGGCCTTCAGTTGCCTGGAAGTTTTGTTATTTTACACACTTCCATCTGCTCTGCCCTTACATTAGTGTGATGTAAGGTCCTTACTCCAGGGACCACCACAGACCAGGGACAGGTTCAGCTGGGGTCCTGCCCAGGTGTCACCCTTGCCCATGGGACCCTGGAGTTGGGGGTCGGGGAGCCTCAGCATTGTGCATTCAGATGTCTGCTCCACGGATGAGACCACTGGCCTGAGAGTCTTGGGTGGTCAGGGTCAGAGCTGGGATCTCCAGGGTAGGGCCCCTCTGACGTGAGGGTGTCCTCACACCTGCCTCCCCCCTCAACCCTGGATACATGTGAGAATGGGTTGGGACTCCCCTGACTTCTCGGAGCCCCTGGGCTCTGTTTTTGTCCTCACTGGCGGTGACGCTGCCAAGCCCCACCCTTATGCGCAGAACAACGTGGCACGTCCACCCTCGGCCCCATGCATTTCTGCCCTGACCCCGCTTCCAAATCAGACCTTTGGACCTAGCTTTCCTGCCTCGAGAAGCCCCCAAAGGCAGGCCTGAGACTGAGGACACAGAAAGTAATTCCAGAAATACCCCTGGCCACCTGTGCTTTGGCAGAGTGGTGAAGGGAGACAGGAATACGCCTCCTTTGCAGATGGCTTTTTCTAGTTGAGGGCTTGCAAACTGATTCTGATAGACTGGGAATCACCAGGAGCTCAGAGTGAACTTGGTGGTGGGAGATATGTATCCAAATGCAAGACAGCTCTCTGTGGACAGCAAGGCATTTTTCTGTGTACGTGCACATCGTCAACCTAAGTTGTTTTCTTGCTCCCGCCCACTTCAAAGACCTTGGCATGTATTCCCCACGGTGATGTCTGAACAGCCGACACATCAAGGGTGATTATTTCTCTAATAAGCTTTTAACAAGCACCATATTGAGTCAAGTACGTTTGAACAAGATCATTACTTAGCTGAATGGAGTGCAAATGAGCCGCAGAGAGGCGCGGTCTCCGCCGACAGGCATGCAGAGTGCTTGGAGCGGCCACATTGTTTCACAGGGATTCTCTCTCGAGTTCACCACGCACTTTTAGACGGAGGTGCTCAGACCCTCTCCCGGAAGCTCGCTTGCGAAAGGCAAAACTGAAATACAGAAACGAGTGCATTGAGCATCTTCACAGGCCCTGGAGGGGTGGGGGCCCCATTTTACATCTGTCTCGAAGTCGGCTGGACTTGACTCCTCACTCAGAGCTGACATGTTGGGGGACAGGGGAGCCCAGCCTAGGTGGCAGCGTGGTTTCCTGGTCCAACTTTTGCCTTGGGGTTAGTGTGGGCACCCCTTCCACTGCTCTTAGGTGCCAGTTTTCTAGCCACTCGAGGATGCCCGGTCATGGTCAGGTCTCCTCAGGTCGAGTGGACTCTGGATCATTAAAGGACTCGCCCTTGACCGCCACATTTCTGTTTAAAGCCATGTGGTGTGATTTCTGGCTCCAATTTGTGTCAATGTTTTTTTCCCCCATTCTTAAACCATTCATTTGCTTCTGATATCTGCTTTAAGTATCCTGCCTCTAGTCCTTTTTTTGTTTCACATTTCTTGACCTTTTTGTTTGTTTGTTTTCAGTTTTGGATTTTATTTTTTCACCTTGGGCCTTTTGGGCCTCCTGTCTCTTGGACCCACAGGTCTCAGTCACAGCCCAGCTCCTCCCCGGCACTTTCTCCCAGGCTGGTTGGAGACAGGGCAAGAAATTTCTCCATGTCCTTAGAATGTTTCTAGTCAGAAATGCGCCCCCTGAGCTGACGGGGCTCCTGTCTCCCAAGTCCTGCCGACAGACTCTGCCAGAGTCCCCTCCTTAGAGACCAGAAGCCCATTTCTACGGACATGGTGTTGGCAGCTGAGAATCTGAACACGAGAGGGTTTTTTGAGAGTTGTATATGGTGACCTGCCCCCCCCCCCACTTCTCAGGTGGGGAAACTGAGGCCCTGAGGGGCACATGGTGATGTGAAGAGTGGGGCGGGAACAGAGGGAGGAGCACTCACATGCAGGCCACGGGTCCCCCAGCCCTGGCAGCTCGCCCCGTGCACTCCTCCCTCAGCTTTGGGCCCCGGCTGTGACGGTGCCCAGCGGGTGCACAGAGGCACCGGGGAGAGACATCGGCTGTGTGGGGCATGGTGCTGTTTTTTTCCTGCTTAGGCAGCATTTTAGTAGAAGTGGGAATTTGGTAGTCAGCTAACCAGGATGTTCCCCCAGCTTCCTTCCAGCAAATGTCGGCGTGGTTGCTCCGGTTTGAGGTGGGGGCGCTCCTTTCCGAGCCAGCGGACCGAGTCCAGGCCCAGAAGGCCACGCCCACCCCAGATACCCCGGGGCTGTCCGGACTCCGGGATGTGAGGAGGCCGCTTGTGCTGCTGCTTAGGAGACAGATGCTAAAACGGGGCCCCGCCTGAGCCCCCGCACGTCCCACCCGAGAGCGATTCCGGCCTGGCTCCTCCCTGCACTTTGGGTTTGGGAGACCCGCCCTCGGCCCGGGCGTCGCTGTGTGAGCCCCGTGCTCCCGGTGCTCCGCCTCTGACGCTCTCCCCACTCTGTCCCTCCCCGTCTTCTCTTCCCGTTAGGGCCCGGCCTGGCCTTCATTGCCTACCCCAAAGCTGTGATGATGATGCCGCTGCCCACATTTTGGTCCATTCTGTTTTTTATTATGCTTCTCTTGCTTGGACTGGATAGCCAGGTATGTACAGATGGAGGGGCTGGCCCCAGGGTGGGACTGGCCACGGGGGACCTGGTTCTGGAAAAGCCTCCTTGTTTGTGCCGTGTGCGAGGTGGCTACTCCCTCCCCATCCTCATATCAGACTTGCAACAGCTGCAGCTTACAGCAGACGAGGGCCCCTCTGGGACGCCAGGAGTGGGAAAGGCCCGGGGCAGCAGGAGCATGACATGGCCCCACAGTGCAAGTCTTTGACCTCAGCAAGGGGAAGGACAGCAGCCGAGCGTTGGTTAAAACAAAGCCACGGGTGGGAAGTAGAAGGGCAAGGCCGAAACAGGAACGCCACGCTCCCGTGGAGCGGCTGGGCAGGAGCCAGGAGTGACGCCGGCACGTGGGCTGTGAGGGGAAGGGACCAACATTTCTGCTTATGGCACAAAGTGGTCCCTACCCTGGCCCTCATCAAGAGTCCTAGATGGGGCCACAGAAACCTGAACCACTCTTCTGTGCTAACTAGAGCACAGGGGTCAGAGGGCTTGTCCCCAAATGGAACCCTCCTCCTCTAGTGCTTCCTGAACAGCCCAGCTTTGGGCAGCCTCCCTCAAACCCACCCGGCCTCGGGCCACCCTGGCTCTGCCCTCCTGGGGCAGGACTCTACCTCTTAGTCCCCACGTCCCATCCCCTCCAGGGCTCAGGCCTCCACCTGATGCTCAGTGAGAGCCAACCAGGGCTGCACCTGCCTTTGAGTAACACGGTTCTAAACCTCTGGGTGCCATTGGGCGTGTTTCCTCCCCCTCTGAGCCTCGGTTTCCTCATCTGGTAAATGGGTAAGATTGTATCTCCATTGCCTTGTGTGAAGCACCAAGTGCAGTGCCTGCTATAGAGCAGTCGTGACCTCTGGTCACCTGACCCTGGAGAGAGGTGTATTTTCACTGGGGTCTTCTCAAGACGACAGTTTTGAGCACAGGCGTGACCCCGGAAGTGGGGAGTTGTGGTGTGCAGGGCAGGTGGTCCTGTTTCCCGGGCTCGTGACAGCCATGCCTATGGTGTCTGTCACCGGAGCCAGCGTCCGAGGTCGGTCACTGAAAGCAGGCATCTTGCAGCCTCATGTGTGGGCTGGGGGTCTGGCTGACTCACGGAAACCCAGTTAAAGGAGGTGCCTGTGGCCATTTAAAGGAGGGCTTTGCCGTGAGGGCCACAGCTGCAAAGCCAGTGCCCAGGGCAGGTCACAGGAATTCAGAGCCAAAGTCTTAGACAAGCAGGCAGAGCAGAGGAGGTGGTCCAAGAGCAAAGTCAAGAACAGAGCAAAGGATTTATCCAAAAGGGGAGCAGGATTAGCAGAGAAGACGATGAAAATATTTGGGGGATTGAAAACAAAATACTTCCACAGCTGTTGACGGGCTGGAGCTGTGTAAACAGCAGGAGGACTCCATTAATCATTCCTACTTAATGAGTTTGGCCTTCGGAGGCCCTGAGCAAATGGCTTTTATAACTTCTTCCAGACCTCTAAGTGAAAGCGAAAAACAAAAACAGAGAGGTTAATAAATGATGAAATCTGATGTCTTCATGGGCCCACAACAGATCCCTTAGTCTGTGGAATTCTGCTTCCTGAGTGAGCGTTCGTTGGTGGTTTTATTCATTAGATTTTCTCCCTGGGAGGCAGGTGGGGCCGGCCAGGCCGTGCACCTCTGAGCTCAGCCCCGAGGTGGCCAAGGCCCTGGTGAGCTCCCTCTGTGAGCTCACAGCCAGCCTCAGAGGGAAGGTTCTCTCTCTTCACTAGAGCGTGGCCTGTTTTACCAACAGGGACATGGCGGGCTGGCTCCTGGTGAGCTGGGCGGGGCCTGGTGTCTCGGGTTCAGTGGCATGGGCTGTGATCCCTCCTTTGTGCCATGTGCTCTGTGAGCCTGGGGACACAGGAAGGTTTTATCAGTGCTGATGACGGTTGCACACACCACCAGCAGCGGGACAGGGTCAGGGCACTGCCGTTCACAGTGTGCACCTGGGCCAGACTTCATGCCCGGCTTTTTATGTGTGTGTGTGAACGGTGAAGTACTCAGAACACAAGATGGCCATCTTCCCCATTTCTCGGGGTGCGGTTCAGTGGGGTTCGGTACGTTTGCCTGGCTGTGTGGCCATCACCACCATCCGTGTCCCAGAACCTTTTATCTCCCCACCCCGAAACTCTGTGCCCATTAAACACTGACTCCCTCCCCTCCCCCAGGCTGGCTTTTTTCTGCATTAGCTCCTTAATCTGCATAGTGTCCCAATGCCTGAAAACCTGAGGTTTGGAGAGATGAGGACTCCCCTGGCTGAGGCCCACACACACAGCTGGCCAAGGAGTGGGGCTCCTGAGGCTGCCTGTTCCCAGACCTGCTAGTTTGTCTCTCTTGTCCCCCCTCTGAGTTACCCCAAAATAGCTTCCCCCTGTGGAGGTGCAGAGACCAACAGTCGACCTTAGGCACGGTCTCTCACTTATGCAGGAGCTTGACCCTTGCTCGTTATAGAAAATATTCTCCCCAAATTTCTAGCATTGAAATATGCTAGAAATGGGGGGGGGTCACTCTCTCAGGAGCCGTCACGCTGCTGGGTGTGTCTTGGTGAGACAGAGGAGGGATGTCCCTCACCTGCAGGCAGGTTGTCCGGCCTGCCCGAGGGGACACAGTTTGTGAACGAACGTGACAAGAAGAGAGCTGAGCTGGAGCCCATCCCTCAGGAGCTCACCCATCCCAGACCCCTGGTGTGGGTTAAGTTTAATCACCCAGTTGCCAATTCACTCTAATTATTACTGGAAAGGGAATCAGGCCCAGAGTGGGTCTGCCTCGGGCCAGCCTTGACTTTACGCAGGAAAGATTTCACAACACGAGCCCGGGTGATAGCGAGAGGATGTTTATGGAAGCTGGGGACGGTGGAACAAGGAAGGGCTTAGGGCCAGAGAAGCAACAGGAGAGGGACGAGGTGGGACTGCTTTGGTTCAGAGAAGTCAGGAAAAGGGGGCCCTGGGGACAGGCCCTGGGGTGAGCCTGCGAGGAGAGGCTGGTGCCCATTGCTCCCCTGCCTGCAAGTCTGGTGGGGACCCCTCAGCGTTCAGGGGATGCACGAATGTGGGGAAGGAGAGGAGGAAGGGAAAGGCATGGGCGGGAGTACTCTCCAGAAGGCGCACACCCTGGGTCCTTGTCTCTGGAGGGGTGTAAAGGCTGGGAGTGTAGGGAAGGATCTCAACAGAATATTCACCAGCTTTCCCAGGGGTGCCCTTTTAGGACTGTGGGCTCCACTGCTTGGTCAGCACCAGGGCAGGGGGTCTAAGTCTCATGACCATCAATATGCCAGGGGAGAAAAGTCCATCGTGAGGGTGAGGTCTGGCACCAGTTTCCCCCAGGGCTAGGCACCTGGGACTTTCTGCCCTGGTGACCTTCCGCACCTGGCTGTATATTGCTCAGCCGGTCTGCTCAGCTGTCTGTCTCAGTTTCCCCATTCTACTTGTCAAAGGATTTTCCTAGCTTCCTACTAACCTGCTTCGTATGATTTCATATCTGCCTCAACATGCCTGCTGAGTCAGCAAAGCCCACCCATTTTACAGGGGGAGAAACTGAGGCTTGGGAGGTCAGGGCCCCATCACTGTTCAGTGGGGCAGGTCGAAGGGGCTGGTGGCATGGGGGTGAGAGGGTGGTGTTCTCTGGGGATGCAGGCAACTTGGCAGCCAGGGGCTTGGGCAGGCCTTGGCCCCGACCCACAGTGATGCTGGGTCTTCCTGTCTGATTTCCCCATCTCCGAACAAGAACGAACCTTTGTTTTTTAAGTCCTTTTGAAGCTCGACACTGGAGCTGCAGGTTAACTATAATTCAGTGGCAATTTAGGTTGAGACCCGTTTCACCGACACTTCAGTTAGAGGTCAATACATCAGTTCCTTGTATTGGGTGCTTTTCAAGAGCCTCTTGGTCACCTTTACCCTGAGTCCCTGGCAACAAAGAGTCACTTATCCTGCCACTTTGAGCGCATGAAAGGGTCCGCTGCTGTCTGTGTCCTTGATCCTCCGGGATGCGTCCCAGAGGAGTGAGGGGTTGGACTTGCCCTTTTGGTAGGAATGCTGTGGAGAGATTCCCTTCCAAAAGCTGCTCCCAGATGAAAGAACAGAGCATAAGGGTGGGGGGTTTAGCTTTTCAACTTTTAAAGGAGTGTGATGGGCCTCAGAGGGTGCGTTGGTCGGCAGGGCAATGTGTCTGCAGCCATCCAAGTGGGAAATGAGTCCGCGAGCCCCGGAAGCCTGCGGTCCCACGTCCCCACGTTGTGCGCACCGGCCTGGAGACAGCGGCGGGGCAGAGTCCTCGCCCAGGTCCCCTGCAGAGGCTGGAAGCCGGCTGCGGGGCACTGGTCAGGTCCGAGACACGTGTCCACAGGATGGGGGTCGATGCTGCCCTTTGAGGAAGGAGGCAGTGCTCCGGGTCATGATAGGCAAGTCTCTAAGCTCAATTACTAGGTGCACTGATGGGAAGATTTAGAAAGACTGGGAGTCATGCTACAATGCCGCCTCATGTTTGGGGGCCCAGGGGTGGCTTCCCGGAGTCCGTGAGCCTTGGAGGCCTGGCTTCACCGAGCTTACACACATACATGTGTAAGTGTGCACGTGTGCACTCCTGCAACATTCTCTTGTGGGCCTGCGAGCCCCAGAGAGTTTGAGCCGCCACTCAAACTGAGGGGGAATCTGAGGGGGAGACCGAGGCCCAGACTTGCGTTGGGTTCCCCCCATTCATTATGTGTCTGTGGAGCAGCCACATGTGCCCGGCCCAGCTGGACACTTGTAACCTTGCAATGAGGGGACATTGCTCTTGGGTTCAAAGAGGACCAAGGCCAAAGTGGGAGGAGTTTGTTCTGCAAATGCACATGCCAGGGCGGAGGTCAGCATTGGCCTCAGAGAGGTGGTCACTGGAGCTGAGTCTTGAATGATGGGGGAAAGGCATTCTGGTGGCAGGATGAGGCTCAGCAGAGGCGCAAGCTGCGGGATGAGGGAGGAGCTGTGCGTGGGCCACTGGCCTTGACCAGCAGGCTGAGCCTGCAAGGCTGGGTTCATGCGTTTGGACTTGACCCCGCAAGCTGACTGCCAGGCTCCTCTCTCTAAGCAGAGGGGAGGTGCTTGGCACCTGCCACTCACCACTCTCTTTTCCCCCCTAGTTTGTTGAAGTCGAAGGACAGATCACGTCCTTGGTTGACCTCTACCCGTCCTTCCTAAGGAAGGGTTTCCGTCGGGAAATCTTCATCGCCCTGATATGTAGCATTAGCTACCTGCTGGGGCTGACGATGGTGACGGAGGTAGGTGGCTCTCTTACCAGGCATCAGGGGCCTCCCCTTCTCAGGGCTCTTGGTGCCCCTAATATGTGTCTCAGAGCAGTTCAAGGTCACAGTGCCTTCTTGTTCCCCTCAACAGCTGGGCGAGAGGACCTGGGTGGGTAATCTCCTAGACCCACCCAATGCAGGGGTCCTGCCCAGCCCAGGGGACTCAGCCTACACTGGAAAGGAACTCAGTAGATAACCCTTGCTTCCCCTGCCTTTTTCTGTTACCATGGCAACACTGCTGCTCTCTCCTTCCCTCACCCTGGGAGGCCTGGGGGAGGGGTGCTTCAGCTAAAATCCATTTTAGCGACAGCTCTGTTCCTCTGTGACAGTGTAGCTGCCTTTTGCGGGCCTGGAGGGAGGTGGTTCTCAAGGGTAAATTCTGCAGGGAGTGCAGAGGCCAGGGTGTGCTCTGGTCAGAGAGTGGGCGGGGCCAGAGGAGGGTCCGTTTGAAGTGGGACAAAGAAGCACAAGAGGAAAGGAGCAAGAATGAGGCAGCATTGGATCAGCAAGTCTGGCAAGAGGTGGGCCAGAGGAGAACAGAGCCTTGTGCCAACCAGCACGGGCCTGACGAGGGCCTGTGGGCCCAGGGCAGGCTGTCCCCGCCTGTCCCCACCGGCCTCCTACGCTCTCCAGCAAAGGTTGCATCAGTTCCCAGACTCAGTCCAGGGTTTTCCACCACCACTTTCCTTACTGCAAGTAAAAAATTAATGTTTTTTTCTGGATGTGTCTGTAAGAAACCTCGCTCCGCGACAGGTGGATCACAGGCCCACACACTGACCTGCTGGCTGTTGCCGAAGTCTTCTGTTTAGGCCACAGCTGGCGTTAGGTACCTGCTTCGGGAGCAGGCCTGAGTGGGCGCGTCACTTTGTGCTGAGGATGACACCCTGCTCAGCTTTCCTTTTCCCTGTGGCTGTGACGAGTCAAACACGAAGCGGGGCGTCTTGTGCAGAGGTGTCGGGTTGTTGTAGCCTTTGCCATTCTGCTTTTGGGTTTTATATTTTTTACTAATGTGCCAGAGCTCTGTATATATTAAGGGCATTAGATACCACATCACACGTCAAACATCTTTGTGTTTTTCTCCACAGGGTGGCATGTATGTGTTTCAACTCTTTGACTACTATGCAGCTAGCGGTGTATGCCTTTTGTGGGTTGCATTCTTTGAATGTTTTGTTGTTGCCTGGATATATGGTGAGTACCACGTTTTGCATACCCTGTCTCAGGTCTCTCCTTCCGGCCTATTCAGAAGTTTCAAAAAACAGAATCCTAAGAGGAATTTATTGAGTTGGACACAAAGGCCTTTCCTACCTGGACTTTCCAGCAGATGGCCGCCCCTTCCCTGCACAGATCACATCACTGTAGCCACACTAGGTCCTCCCTGTGCTGAAGGTGCAAGTGTGACTGTGTGTTTTGACAAACACACCACTTGGCTGTGCAGGGTCTCTCTGCGATAAACTCTGGGGCCCAGGGACGGTGTGTTCGGACCTCCCTGAGACCTTGGGCTGCTCACACCAGGTTCTGGGCATGCCTAAGGCGGCCAAGAAAGTGCAGGATGTCCCGTTACTTTTATTTTAGATAAACATCTGCCACATCTGGGTCTGAGTGTTGTCAGATGCAAGGATGCGGGTCAGGCCCCAGAGCTCCCTCGTGGCCCTGAGCCCTCGGCCCGCCGTTCCTGGGGCGGATGCTGGCATCGGACACCGTGTCACCATCTGCCTACCGTTGTCTCTTGCAGGCAGTGATAACTTGTATGATGGTATTGAGGACATGATCGGCTATCGGCCCGGGCCGTGGATGAAGTACAGCTGGGCCGTGGTCACTCCGGTTCTCTGTGTTGTGAGTTTTCTCTCGCCTGGCTGTGGGTAGCAGCGCAAAGAGGAAAGCGGGTCAGGGCCTGTTGAGAAGTGTAGGGGATCCACGACGCAGCACGTAACTTCTCCCCAAACTCTCCCAGAGCCCAGGAGCCCACTTTCAGTCCCTGACTAAGTGAAGGAGCCATTGGGACGTCCAAAGGAGAGGTCAGAGATGTTGGAAATGTGGCATTTCCGTGGCAGGGTGGGGGTCCTAACTAGAGAGGGCACTTCCCAGCAGAGAGGTACTCTGGGCTCTCCCAAGAACAAGGAAGCTGTGCACCAGCCCCGGACCCAAGGCAGTGAGGTGCCACACTCCTCTTCCTACCAGGGATGCCGGCCACCTTGGAAAGTGGCCTTGGAGTATGCCCGGGCACCCTGCCTGCTTCCAGCCCCCGCTCGGAGGCCGCAGCCAAAGGGAAGTCCTCTGTAGTAAAAGCTGCTTTCCCCTCAGTGTCTGAAACCTGTCGTGAGCTTCGGAGCTAATGGCAGGGGGGGACATCTGCTCCGCCATCTCAGCTCACGCCGTGGGAGGCGCAGATGGCAGACATGCTCCTTGTATTCAGGGACCAGGAGCTGAGGAGTAAATGGGCCTTCCCCTGAGTGACCTCTGCTCCTAAGCAGAATAAGTTGGCATTGCCATTAACTCACTGAGTAACTTTAAGGGGCCCCATCTCCCCGGTGGTAAAGCGAGGAGACTGATGTGGGGTGTGAGTGGCAGCCGACAAACTTAGGTTGTCACTGTTGTTATTTAATATGGTTGTGGCCTTTCCAACTGAGGTGCTTATTTTCCCCATAAAAATAGGTTAACTGTAGCAGCCAGGAACCACAGCAACTGGCAAGGTTTTTCTAGAGAGACTGTACTGGGTTCGGAGCCCGTGCTCATGTTCTCACCAGTGTGTGTTTGTGGGCGGCTCCTCGCCACTCTGACCGTCAGTCTCTCCCTCCCGTTCCCTGAGACGCTGCGCTGATCGGAGACAGGTTGCACCTCAGGGTGGCAGGATGAAGTCACCCTAGTGGAAAGAGGAATGTGACAGGCGGGTATAAAGCTTCCTGTGTTTGGAGAGCACAGAGCAGCCACTACCCGGTGCTCTCCTGTCTAGGCAGCAGCCCCCACACAAGGACAGCAATGACAGCAATGACAGCAGGGCTGGGCACACAGCAGGCGCCACCACGAGGATGGCGTTTGCACGTTGTGGGTTATCCATGAGGCCCGGGTTGTGCTCTGAGATCTCCCCCTGGCCGCCCCCCTGAAACGCCCCCCTGACTGCCCCCATCTCTCCGCAGGGATGTTTCATCTTTTCTCTCGTCAAGTATGTGCCCCTGACCTACAACAAAGTGTATGTGTACCCGACCTGGGCCATCGGGCTGGGCTGGAGCCTGGCTCTGTCCTCCATGGTGTGCGTCCCCTTGGTTGTGGTCATCCGCCTCTGCCAGACAGAAGGGCCGTTCCTCGTGGTGAGCACTTGGGGCTCAGGCTGGGTTCGGGGGTCGGCGGGAGGCCGAAGGCCAGCCAGCTGTCAGTCTACTGAGTGATCTGAGTCCTACACCCCTCCCAGCCCCAGGAGTGGTGGAGCCTGTGGGCGGGAGAGTGAATCCTGGGAAAATGGGAGCGAGTTCAGGTTCACGGGGCCGACGAAGGGCTGTAGCAGAAGGAGTCTGCCAGGCAGAGAACTGGAGATGGACAGGTGTAGGACGTGCTGCATGGGGGTGTGACAGCACCCGGGCAGCAGTGACACGTTCTGGGGGGCAGGTGAGGGAGCCGTGACAGCAGCATTGGAGGCCCAGCTAGGAGCTAGGGCTCTGCCTCGGGAACAGAGGGGCTGCTGTTTCTGAGACAGGAGCCAGGGAGGAAGCCTGAGCCCCACCCAAGGCCTTCCCTTATCCTGGAGCCAAACTGCAGATGAGCCCCACCCGCTGGTGCCCCCTCCCCAGTCTGCGGTCCTGTCTGCTGCCCACCCGCAGAAGCCACCTCTGGGCTAGACAGAGCCTCCAGCCTGCAGGCCTCCGTGCCTGCACATCTCCTCTCCTGAGGCCTCCTCCCACCGCCACCTCCTCTCACAAATTCCTCAGACAATGCTGTAGATTCCAGGCCGGCCAAACAAGGGCTCTTTCCAAGAAATCCTTTTCTTAGAATCTCGCTTAACCTTTGGGCTTGGGCAGGCTCCAAGATTGCACTGTTTTGTTCTAGGCTGTTTTTTATTGTTATTCTCTTAAAAATCTGGAGCCAGGATGTGCTGGGGCCCCGGCTCTCCCTTGGGCTGGGTGGGTTTCCTTGTGGGCAAGGGAATGTCCCGGGGGTGGTGTGGGTGGGGGAGAGGGGAGGGCAGGCAGAAAGGCACCCGCCTTCCCTGGACAGAGGAAGCAGGCAGGGCTGTGCGGGGGGCAGGCCCGGAGCTCCGGCTGAGCCAGCGGCCCCGCAGTGCTGCCGCTGGACCGGGCTCATGGTGTTTCCCTGGAGGACGCAGGGGAGGACCCCAATATTCGGCCAGAATGCTGCCTGGTCCTATCGTTTGTTAAAATATTTAAATACTGAGCCCGGGGACGTACAGGAGATAACTACTGCCCTGGGCCCCTCGGGGCACCCCCTGCATATACCCTGTAACAACCCAGTCCCTCCCCAGGAATTTCCAGAATGTTCCTACCATCCAGAAACCAAAGGGTTAATTCCATACATAGCCAAGCCATTCGATGTCTGTTCTGATTGGCCAGTGCCCACAGCAATTACCTAGTTCAACCCTGGGGCTGGACATCAGAACATCCCACAGGTCACTCACTTGTGTTCCTTCAAAGCTTAATTTAAAAACGTTGCTCCCGCTCCAGTTCAGAGGTTTGGTCCAAGTGCGCTTGGTGTAGGAGAAGGGGAGGGGCCGGTGAGGAGTCACTCTACCCCAAAGCTGCACCCCTTCCTTAACCCTAGGCCCCCACCCCGGGAAAACAGCCACCTGTCTCCGTTCTGCGGCCCCTGGAGCTCCCCCTGCACAGTTGCCCAGGTGGCCTCCCAGCCAGGAACATCTCTTGGAGCAGGTTCTACAGACCCGGTCTCTGTCCTGGAGGAGTTCAGTGGCATCTTACCTGGCATTTAAACGGTGCCCAGGTGGCTGTTCGGGGGCGTGCGCCTCCGGTCCGCCTGCTGTGTGCACACCCCATTGTACAGATGTGCAGCAATGAGGGGGTGCAGGATGCCCTTACTGCTGGCACCCCGCCCCTCACCCTCTACCTGGGGTCTCCAGCCGGCCCTCCAAGGACCAGGCAGGCAACCCGGATGGGGAAGCTCCGGTGGCAGGCCCGGGGGTGATGCGCTCAGCTCTGGCCCGTAGTTACCAAGGGGACGTGGGGCCTGCCGTGGCCAGATCCTGCAATTTTAAAAGAGAAGATGGAAATCTGGATTTTTAAGTGAAATATTATAGCTTTTAATAAGCAGCTCTGAAAATTTCTAATAAACTGAAACTGAATGCCTAGATAGAGAACTTCACAAGTTCTTTCTAATTAAATTCCTGAGTGGACACGGGACAGAGGTGGGTGGGGAGGTGGGAGCCCTGAGTTCGTGTCCCAGCTCTGCCATTGGCTCAGCCTCACTGATTCCACAAGTGGGCCACCAGCTGCAAGGACAAAGGGGCCCTGGGGCACCTTAGTTCAACTTCTTTGTTTGCCAGTGGATGAAGTGGGAGGTCCCAAGAGGGCAGTGGTTTGTGAAAGGCCAGACAGCACACTGGCCCAGACGGGTAGATGGCCGTGGTGAACAGGAACCAGACTGCCTGACTTGCCGCCTGCTCCTGTCCCCTTCCTTCTCCAGAGACTCAAGTACCTGCTGACGCCGCGGGAACCCAATCACTGGGCCGTGGAGCGAGAGGGGGCCACGCCCTTCAGCTCCCGCTCTACCATGAACGGAGCTCTCATGAAGCCGACGCACATTGTGGTGGAGACCATGATGTGAGCGCCCTCGGGGCGGCGGGCCGCTTTCCTGCTGTTTACTAACATTAGATTCTCATAGGACCAGGTTTACAGAGCTTTATATTTGCACTAGGATTTTTTTTAATGTCACAGAAAATATTACTGTGTGTGTGTGCACACGCGTGTGTGGTGTCGTGTGTATGTGTATTTTGTTTTGATTTGGGGCTATTTTGTACAAAAAAAAAAGCCCCATGGGCAGAGGTCCGGGGCAAGGCAGAGCTTTCATACTGAATTAGATGTATTTTATGGGAACTGGTAAATTTTTCTTTGTATTTTTTTTTACATATATATATACACTTAGAGATTGTCATATACTTTTACCACTTGAATCGATCTTCTTGCCAGCAATAGATCTCATTTTCAAAAGCAATTCTTCGGTGCTCATGCGGCTGGCAGAAAGTTCTGCCCCCAAAAACGCAGGGTGGGATTTTCCTGGGACAGCAGACCCATTTTAAAGGTGTAGTACCTCCCCAACCTGGTTCAAGTAGAAGCAGCCAGCAGGGAGCAGGCCCCACCCGTCCGGGCAGGAGAAAGTGGGGGGCTGCGAGGAGGCGCCTGGTTACACCTGCCGTAACCCCGTAGCCAGGAAGGCAGACACCTAACTAATGGGCCCACCCCTCAGACAAAGGCACTGACTTCACCCTGACAGGGGAGGCCCTGCATCAAAGATCTGCTTAGTCTAAGTGGTAGAAACCGTGGCACCAGGAACAAAACCCCAGCTTTTATTGAGAGGTCAGTGGTGGATAGTCAGAGGGGCCGTCAGAACCAGCCATCAGTGCTGGGTGGTGAGGCTGGGGCTTGGCGTTCAGAACACTCGGCCGCATCCTTCCCACGGAAGCCCCAGTGGAGACTGAGGCTGGCCCAGCTGGAGCCCTCAGGGTCTGTCACATCTCAGTGGGGTGCCGTCAGGTTCTGGTCATTTCCCTTCTCCTGAAGCTGCCTGTAGGAGGGAAGCGGCATGTATTTAGTGAGGGATGAGGGGTGAGCGAGTGGACCAAAGGATGTGGGCCCTGGGGCTTGGGGCCCGGTGTTGGGGAGGGGTGCTTTTTCCCCTCATCTCTCCACCCTCATCTCCCAGAGGCTGGGAAACTCCAACAAGCTCTTGTTGAAGATCCCAGCCCTGGGCCATGAGGGCTCCACGCAGGGAGCACCAGGAGTGTCTGTGGAGGTTCACTAGATACTTGAGCCCAGCGAAGCGCTCCCCAAACCTCCTCCCAGCTCAGTCAGAAGTGCAACGCCCCTGTAGACCCTGGGAGACAGTAGAAGTCTGCATTTCACAGCCCCTGTGATAGCTGGTGTCAGACATGCACCATGTGGGGACCGAGGGGAGGCAGTGAGGGAGTGCGTTTTTAGGAAGCTGGGGTTCATGGGGCTGGCACCCCAGAACTGGCTCAACCAAGTGCAGTGTCCTTTCTGAACCAGAAGCGAAGGTACTCTACCTTTAACATCCCGAGTGTGGACACACCTTCACCCTGGCCCCTATTTGGACCTAAACTGTGCCATTTAAAGTCACTTCCAAGTTCAGACTCTAAACTGAAACGTCACAAAGGGCAATGACTGCCTGTGGGGCAGGTGGGTGGAGAGTGAAGTCCACCTCAGGCTTTCAGAGCAGGGGCTCTGAAACCTGGAACCCCCTCCCCAAATCCGGGAGAGGGAGGGGCCTTTGGGGTCCCCCTCCCGAGGGGCAGAGGCAACTCTGAACCTTTGGAACGTCTTGTCTTTGGTAAACTTTCACATTTCTCTCTTTCCAAAGCGTACACTCTGCCAAACAATGCCTATTCCAAACCATTCACAGTTCCAGTGTGTTCCTGTGTTTCTGTGTATTTATGGTTGTCGCTGTGTCTGATTTGATTTCACTGTTTGTCCCCCCCCCCACTTTTACCGAGTAGCAATGTGACCCTTTCCCTCCATCTTACGGAATTGTACGTAGTTCACTAACCACTGTCAGTGACTGGGGACAGGCAACGTGCAGGAGCGAGGGGGGCTCGGCAAGCTGTGGCTGCCTGGGCATCTGGAGTCATTTCAGGCTACGTACATCTCCCCTCTGGGGCTCAGCCCCCCAGGGAAAGGTCACCGGGCGGCAGGCAAATCGCAACATTCTGGAAGTGGCCCGAGGAAGGCCTCTTGTAAGATTCCCAGACCAAATTCTAGACCAAAGACATGTGCAGACCAAGTCCCCAGGTCCCGCCTGGTTGGAAGGTCAGCCACTGTCCCCAAGCCCATTCCTCACAGCCTGCCGGGTCCCTGTCTCCAACTGTAACCCTCGTGTCTGCTCCCCTGGCTCTGGTTACTTGCAGAACTTGGCTCTATGAGTACAATGTGTAATGATGCGCGACTTCTGTATGTCTCCACATAAAGAAAACTGTCACTGGCGCTTGTGACTCTGGTCCACCTGTCTCAGAGGAGGGGCAGTCCTCTGCCCACTCTCTGCCTGGATAGGTCACAAATTCTGATGCCCACACATAGTCCAGCCAGCCAGACCTGGAAGGAATGTGAGGGAGGTGTTTAGAGAATGTGTTTCGGATGCAGAAATGGGCAGGGCCCCAGGACAAATCTCACCAGGCAGGTGCTGCATGAGGGCCCTGCGGTGGAGCTGCACTGTCAGTGATGGAGAGGCTGCCAGCTCCGCCCCACAACTGAACACCCTCATAAAATGGGGAAACTGAGGCCTGGAGCAGGGGAGGGTCTTTGGCAAGGCAAGTGGGAGTGGAACCGGCCCATCTGCTGTCAGTTCCAGCTGTGTGTCCTCTGACGTGTGTGGCAAGTGGTGAATGCAGCTCCCCAGTGTTCTCCCCAAAGACCAAGGAGGAGCCTTTAGGAAAAAAGAAACACTCCGTCCCCAGTGTCGGGGGACGAGGTGAGCAGCACCTGCCACCCCCTGACCATTCGTGGGCCAACTGGTCCCTGAGCTGTGACTCAGGCCTCCGAAAGGAAAGGCAGCCCCTGTTCACCTCCACCTTGGCCCTGCACCCAGACGTCCTTCGTGAGCTGGGCATTGAGGTTCCCATTGCACACGAGGCAACTGAGGCCCAAAAAAGGCAGTTGGTGTCCAAAAGGCAGGATTCAGTCTGAGGCCACACAGGACAGTGGGGAGTGGCCTTCCATTCCGATTTCCGGGTGGTACCAGCTCCCTATCTGCACCCCTGACCCCTTGCTTTCACCCCAGGTCCCCAGCACACCCCCAGAGACACTGGTGAAGCACAAGGGAAAGCCAGCCCCGCCCCCCGGCCCCCCCCCCCCAGCCCAGTGCAGGGCATTCTTGTATCACCAGGTCCCACCGCACAACGGCCAGTGGCCCAGCCTACATCTCAACACTGCTGCCCCTCTGGGTGGGGAAATGCTCTGGGCGGCCAGTCCTGAAGGCAGGTGCCTCCCTTCCCTCCCACACCCTCAGACACAGGCCAGGAAAGGACTCAGAAAGCCCTTCTAGGCGAGTGGAGGGCCCACCCAGCCCTCAGACCCAAGGTCAGGCAACTCCAAGCTGGGCCATCCACAGGGTTGCTGCAATCACCACTGTGCAAAAATGCTACAAGCACAAAGCCACAAAACAAACCCAGGCATCGAAACTGGAGAGGAGTGTGGGGTCCTCCCTCTACGAAGGCAGCTGGTTTGACCAGAGGAGGCTGTTGTATTGTTCCCCGGTGGGCGTCACTAGAGACCCCTTCTGACAAGGTCCCCAGGGGTGGAGCATCTTGTGACACATTCAGCTTCAAACTGAGATGTGAGCGCCATGGGGTTTTTTAATCTAATTTTCAAGTCCTTATCAACTGTGACTCTGAATTTAGCACAAGAGAAAGCCTAGAACGTGAGTCTTGCCTCCTTCCAGAAATATGTCTGGCTCATCAGGACATTTTTTTAAACTTCAAAATATTTTTAAGATATTTTGAACTTTTGTAAAAAAACAATAATCAACTAACGGGAGACTCATCTGAGGAGGAACATTTGTATTTGAATAAGATCTCCTTGGTGTGTGATTCAGTCTTGCAATATACAAGGTTTTGTGTTAAATGTTTTGGATATGAATCCCTGTATTTTGCAGGGTTTTTCCTTTCCTTTTTTTTTTGCTTTGTAGATAAATATGTATATCAATATTTTAAATTCATCTTTGCTTTTTTTTAGAGGAGTTTGTAATCACCTTATAACATGAAAATAAACATTTCCTTTTTAAATCCAACACGTGTGGGTTCTATTTTGATGAGGCTGTTTTTCCTTACATTTGACAAGTGCTTTCCAGTTCATAAGAGGCGTTCTGTCCCGCCCAGGGTGCTCCTCAAAGGAATCGTCCGAGGCTGGAGACACCGAGGTGGAAGCTTCCAGGTGGGATGAGGTTTGCACAAGGGCACATGGCAAGTCGGTGAAAGTCGATTTGCACCCAGGTCCACTGACTCCTGGGTCTGCACTGGCTGCTTCTACTGGTCCTACGAACGAAGCTCACCTGCGACACCCATAGCCCCATGCAGCTGGGAGATCTCACAGTCTCCTGAGCCTCAGTTTCCCCATCTGGAATAAACCACCGCCCCCTTTAAGTGTTCAGGGATGATCAGAGGGGATGCTTGTGCATCGCGCCCTCACCTGCACTGGCTTCCTCCTCCCCTAGCACAGGATGACCCTGCTGTAAGCCTATGAAAGGTGTAGGGAGGGGGGCACCACCCTGAGGTCAGTGCCTTTCTCCCTGCCCCCCCCCCCGCCAGCCTCCCACCAGGTGCAGTCACTGAAGCCTGATCCCATGCCATCCTATTGGGGCTCCGATTGCCAAGTCCAAGAGTGGGGCAGGGGCAGGGGAGGGCGCTGCTGCTGGAGGATAGGTAAGTGGCAAGTCCTGGAGATATGCTCAAGGGCCCTCAGAGGGGAGGACACCCTCAAGGTCAGTGGTTGGCATAGATGTCCTCAGCCTTGGGGATCATAAGCCCAACACACTGTTCTAGATGGGGAAGCAGACCAGGAGAGGGTCGGCGTTCGGGCAGCCTCCCTGCCCACTGGCCCCATCACCCTTCAGGAGTGGGCCAGGTCAGGGGAGCCTGCTGGGTCCCTTCCCCAACTTCCCAAAGTCTCAGTATTTCATTTTTTATGGACAATGTTAGAATAAAACCTCCCTCCCTCTTTTTCTGGTTGTCTTCCTCTCTGTTGGTCTCCATCCACCTTCCTCCCTTTCTGAATGTTTTGGCCATACGTCTTGTGTTCAAATCCTGGGCTCCTCCCTATTACCTGTGTGACCTTGGACAAGTTACTTTTCCTCTCTGTGCCTCATTTCCTCATCTGTAATGTTGAAATGGTTGCAGAGCCACCTGGGAGAGCTGTTGGGGGAGTCCAGGATATTCTCACAAAGCTCTTGAAACTGCCTTGGTCGCAGGCAGGCGGAAGGACCAGTGCTGCCTCTCAGAGGACCAGCAGTACCCTGTGCAATACGACAGCCCCCAGTTTCCCCCAGTTTTCTTAGCCTGCCCGCAGAAACCTAATCAGCGTGGTACAGCTCCTGCTTACATCCCTCCTGAGATGGGGAGCTTACTCCCCCTGGCATAGCTGATTGGAAGCTCTTCCTCTGTCCACACAGAGGTGTGGCCCCCAAGTGGGACCCAGTCCTGCCCCCTGGACTCATCGTACCCAGGCCACCACCCCCAGGCTGCCCTCTTGGCCCCTTCCCTACCCAGGCTGCTGGCTGCCACTCACACGCCTCAGCAGCTTCCCACTGCTCAGAGAATAAAATCCGTAGTTCCTACCGAGGCCTTCGACTCCACCGACTCCGGACTTGCCTCTAACCCCACCCTCGTGCGTGCCTCCTTTCTCTTCCTTGAGCTCACCGGGTTCATTCCCAGCTCAGGGCGTTTGCACTCGCTGTTCTCTCTGCCCAGGACATGCTTCCTCCATGTGTCCCCAGGGCTGACTCTTGTCCTTCAGGTCTTGGCATAAAAGCAAAGCCCTCCCTGACCCAGTCACTAACCCCATTACTGTCTTGGGTTTTTCATTGCTCTCTATTCCTCCTGAAAGAATTCTTTATGATTTTTTTTTTTTACTTGTCAATGGTCTGTCTTCCCCTAGACTATAATTCCATGCAGACAGGACCTCATCTGTCTTCCGCCTAATGATTTCCCAAGGGCTAGAATGATGCATAGTACTAAGCAAACTTTTTGAATAAATGAATTAATGGATTAATCGGTGAGATTAATCCTGCAAAAGCAGCTGAGATGTTACAAGATCAAAACAGAAGCTGACTCATGCCAGCCTTTGATTAAAAAAAGTTAACACCCAACTCTAGGTGCATTTAAATAATTTTATTTAAAAAATCCAAATCAACCCAACAGCACCCCACCCCCCAACTTCCAAGTCACTTCGGCCCCCGAGGGACAGACAGGTTTGCACGAGGCCCCGGCAGGCCCCCAGCGGCCTCTGCAGGCCGCCCCTTGGCTTGCGGTGCTTCCCGAGAGCCCTAAGAAACCCCATGTAGAAAAATACAAGGAATATGCTCTCATCTCAGCCAGAGAAAAATACAGCTTTTCAAGGTGGAAGGGCAGGTTGCAAGGGCTGTACCAAAATGCATAGGCAGGAGGGACGCTCGCCAGGGACAGGTGTCGGGAATCGTCGGGTCTGGGCCTAACGATCCCGTGAGAAGCCAGAAGAAATATTGCATATGAGAAGGCCGGCCACAGTGAGGAGGTCCGCCTGCCAGGCCTCCAGGCCTCTTTGCATCCGTGGGTGGGGGCGGGGGGGCGGCAGAGGCCTCAGCCCGGGGAGGGAAGGGAGTGTTGGTCAGGGTTCAGTTGCATCTTCCCTCGCCTGCAGTCAGCACGGCCTTCCCGACCCAAGAGGCCCTGGGAGCATGCTCTGTCCAGCTCTGTCAAATGACAGAGGCCCAGAGAGGCTGGGCCACTTTCCTAAGGTCACACCATTGAGGCTGCGAGTGGCCATGTCTCCACTGTACCCCACGCCCACCCCAATCTGAGGGTTCTTGGCATTTGCTTGGTGCCCCTGTAATGGACAGGCAGGGCCCTGTCACTGGGGCATGGATGCGAGCACACAGGATCCAGGTAGCAGAGGCACTAGGCAGTCCATTCAGGGCACGAAGGGCTCTTCAGGGAGGGTGCACAGGGCAGGGGACAGGGAAGGGGAGGGGTGAGAAGATGGGACCCAGGTCCTTAGGGAGAGTGTGGGCAGAGTGGCAAGGGGGCCACGGCTGACAGGGAGACTCCTACCTGCTCAGACACTGTCTACCCCTTGATTGTTCAGAGGGTGCACCAGACTAAGAGGGGGTCACCCAGCACCCAAGCAGAGGCTCAGGGGGCAAGTAACAGGCCTCTTGATTCCCCATACGGACCCTTAGAGTGGAAGAAAATTTTCAGGGGACAGAGGTGGAGAGGGGTGCAGGTGGGTGCCTTGTTTTCCTGAGACCCCCATTAAGAGCTGGGTGGGGCAAAGCCAAGCCGCAGGCCCAGCTGCATCCTGCCTGCCCACTCCCATCCCAGGGGCCACACTCTGGGCCACCAGGGGGCAGCCCGTGCCCGTCTTAAAATCAAAAGTGTTTCTGGTCTGTGAAAAATGAGGAAAGGATTTTAAGAGATGCTGGTGCTTCCAGATTGCAAGTGGGAAGAAACTTCCTCGAATGACCACCTTGGACACTGTCGCCACTGGGTGGGAGAGAAATCGGCCCATCACTCAGCCGGTCTCTCTCCTGTCTATCTCTCTCTCCATCTCTGTGCTTCTCCCTCATTCTCCTGCTCCACCAAGCAGGACCTCTTATTTCCATGGCTTCCCATCTTCACTGAATGGCAGGTGAACGGAGCCCCAATTTTGTCCCCAGATGACTCCCTCCTCCTGGAGGGGCCTGGGCTCAGAGGGGTGTGAGCAGATGGGTCAGCAGCCACACAGCCTTCGAAAGAAGCAGGAGGGGCTAAGAGCCCAAAGCCTGACACTGCTGCCTGGTGGGTCCAGGACAGCAGCCTCACATTGCAGAAGCTACAGACCAGAGATGCCATGGATGAAACAATCAGTGACTTTCTTATTAAAGGGCTAGCACTTCCCCAATTCCAGAGGCTGCGGCTCAGAACCTTCTAAGTGGGGACATCAGGACCAGAGAATCTCAGAACCAGCAAGCCCCAAACGCCAGAATTCTGGAGGAGGTGGGCTCCTACCCCAAGCGGTATCCTTCCTGGTGATCAGCTCCCCAGCTGAGGTGACCCCCCCAGCCTCTCCCTGAATGCCCCTTATCAGGAAACTAACCTTCCGAGCACCTGTGGATGCATCATCTGGATGCCTCGCACCTCAGTCTACTACCTCACTGGGGTATCCAGCTCCTGCTTGCTCACCTCCCATGACAGGGAGCTCACTCCTATGTCGCAGTTCATTCTAGTTCCACAGCTTTGCTGCAAGCAAGTAAGCGCATTTTACACTGAGCTGGGCTTTCCCCACCCCAGGTATTCCTCTGAGGAAGCCCTGTAGAAACCTGGAGCCACCTCCAGACCTCTCTTCTTCAAGCTGATCAGCTTGTCCCTGTTGGGCTGAGCACCTTCCGCCATCGTGGAGACCCACAGTTGAAAAAGACCTCGATGCCTCTCCAACTGGGGCAGGGGCCTCACTGCCTGGCACCCCAGTTCACAGAACCAGAGAACAGAGACAAGGTCCCATCCATGACTCGGAACCGGCCAGATGGACAGATGGACGATGGGTGGCCATGTCTACAGGTCTGGGGGCCAGGATCCTCCAGAGTGGCCCTCTGGGTGTCTGGACCAGGCTGACCTCAGAGCATCCGAGGGCTGCTGGGGCCTGGCGCCCGTGGGGTCCGGCTGCTCTGTGCCAGTGGGTTGCGGCTGACGACCAGCTCCAGCACGTCACCCGACTCAGCCAGGAGCGGCACCGCCAGGCAGCAGTCGAAGTCCCGCGTGCGCACGTGGTTGACCTGCAGGGCACACAGCCTGGTGTCAGCGTGTACAATGGGGCTGGGGGGCGGGAGTCATGGCATTTCCTAAATGTGGGCCCCACCCCCAACCAGACACAGGGCGAATCTGGAACATGCACACAGAGGAAGTCATTCTGCATTTAACTCTTTCAGTTCTAGGGGTTTAATAGAACAGCAAGTACTGGGAGGTGCCCCCACATCCTTCACACTCCGAAGCCTGCTTTTCTCCCTTTCTAACATTAGAGGGCGCACACGCGCTCAGGCCCCTGCCTAGGATTGTGTGACCG